CTTCACAATCCCTTCCTCTATCGTCGACCGCTTGTTCCTTCTCTCCGTTATAAACGCATCGATTTGTGCTTTAAGTTCCACATCTACCACATCACGTCAAGCATAGCAAACGCGCATTACAAAAAACAACGTACTGGGGATAACATCCTCTATCACCATCGGCACCCGATTGAAAGGATCTTTGGAGTCAGAGAGTAGATGAGACTTGATAGTCGAGCGATCTATGATGGCACGAGAAGATGGAAGTGTGACTGGATCACGCATGATCGTAGCCATGAGAGGGTCTGATGAATTCGTCGTGAGCCATTTTCCATGACGAGGCACAAGGTGAAATAAACCAACCCAAAAACTCCTCCGGAATCTCACCCAAATCTTCCTCTGCCTCAATTGTAGTTTTCATCTCCTCCACCTTGGACATAAAAGACCTCACAACCCCAATCTCAGCCTCGGTCTTCAACGGCACCCGTCTAGCAGTCTCCATCGCCGCCTCAAACAGCTCCTTCTTGTAACTTCTTCCGTCGCTTGCAACAGCTCTCACAAACTCCTCTTGATCGCTGAGGTTGATGTATACTTGCAAAATATCGCTCAGGAGCTGACGAGGATTGAACTTGTATTTCTCTGGGTCTTGTACCCTCAACTCGCCGCACTTGGGCCCAACGAGCGCGTCGAGGTTGTAATCCAGCATAGCCGCGAGTTTGTCCACGATTTCGGGCATCATGAATGGCCCCTTAGTTTCTGCTGTGAAATCTTTCAAAAGACCGACGGTAGATCTGCCCAGCGTGGTATACCCAGACGCATGCCGCTCGAGGCCGCGGAGCGTACCTTCGCGTTCACGTCGGTACTGCTGAGGACGAGCGTTCCAAGCGGTTTGGTCACGCATCTCGGTCTGGATGTTGTGGATCTGCGTGAGCTCGCTGAGAGACTCGTCCATGAGATAGGTGACGTCGTTAATCATGAGGTTGATGAACCGGATGAACTTGTCGACGTTCCTAGAGGATAACATTGGTCTTGCGTGAATATTATGGAGGAAAATAACATACTGAGCTTCCTTATTCAATGCATCTCTGTGAACAGGATTATCCCAAACCGCTTTCAAAATGTAAGCGATATTCCTCCTCGCATCTGAGTTATCAATGTTCTCAGATTCTATCTACTCATTGAAAAATCGCACGCACTGAATTTGTCATAAAACTGCGAACTAGCACCGGTCTGCTCGACCTCTGAAAAAAACATCATGAGAAACGCTCGTCCAGCTTTTGACAAGACACACCAATATAGAAATGAGTCAACGCCGGTATTAAGTTCTTGAGCGCGACGGGGTGCGTGTTCAGCGTGTGTCCCAGAATACCGTGCCTGTCGTTCCCGTACGGCAACACACCGTAAAATACCGCCTGTTTCATATCCACAACGTCAGCGAATTTTCATGGCAGTAAGCGAAACGGGGAAACGCACCTCGTTAATCTTAGCTTTCAAGAACGGGTTCTTGATGTACCATGTCGAAGTAAGGAACGTCAGCGCAAAGATCACAAGCTCGTCCTTTCCAGACAAGTCAAGACTCTCTGGCGAGTGCCTTCAAGCCCATCAACTGCCATGCGCATTTCACAAAAGCGACGAAAAACATACCGCACGACAAACAAAAAGAACTCTACCACATCCTCAATAATAAACTCCGGAAGGACTCGGAACGTCATCGGAACGTCCTTCGGAAGGGGCAGCCTGCCAAAGAATGTCGCGCATCAGCCATCACGCCAAAAAAAAACTTCTTATTCAAAGCTGAGAAACGCACTCAACGACAGGATTCGGATGCGCCCCCTGCGGATCGACACTCCGGATCAACCAAGTCGACGCAAAGTTTGTGAACCCTATATACCGGAACACAAGCTCAGGGTCGAGCAGCTGAACGCGGTACGCAAGTTGTTGGGACTGGATCTTTGACATTTCGTTCTTTTTTTCGTGAGATATTGTTATACTCAAGCCATGGGATTAGTGCGTGAAAAATACGTACCTTGGCATTGTCGATGGCTGCTTGCGCGTGTGCTTGTTGAGGGGTCTACAGATACAACATGAGGCCATTATGCATGATCATCGAAGAAAAAATACGCGCCCCCATCCACGACCCATCCCCAGCAATCATATCATGATGCCTCTGGTAATCATCAAGAGTCTTCCCCAAGTCCTCGTACACCTGGATCGTGCGTATGTATCCATAGTGTCCTAGCGCATTGCAGAGATAGAAAATGTCGGAGATGAAGTTGGGCGTTGCGGCTGAGGCGGTCAAGGTGATAAGATTTAGATGCGAAGTGTGTGCGAGCATACAGTTGCATTGCGTGTCGAGATTTTTTTTTGGTGGAGCATAGCCATCAATAGGGAAACATGCTAAGGTGAGGGAACACCCACCCTTTGACTTGCTCTCCTCGACCCATTGGGCAGCTTCATCGCTCGTCGCTTTGATCCTCGTTTCTTCCTTCAGATCAATTCGGGTAGACACCGAAAAATAATAGGGGTCTATGCGGTCCATCTGTGCTCACAGAACAGCATCCAAAATGCATGCAATCACACAATAACGTTTACAGGAATAGAAGAATAGTAGCAAGTCATGAGGGAGTCTGGAATTCATTGAGGATAAACGGACAAACCTTTGTATACCTTGCGTCCATAAAGGGCTCCGCGAATCTCAGCAGCACGCTCTGTAGATTGACCATGAAGCTGTCGGACGCGACTGTGTCGGGTTCAACCTGCGCAAGTGCTGATTAGCATCCCTGTGCACAGGAAGGAAAGAGAACATACCTGCATTCCTGCACGTTTTACGTTGAGACGTACTACCGTTGCAAAGTATTCTAATACCCGCTCACGCGCCTCGGGAGACGTGCGCACAAGGGTGTTAAATATTTGGAAGAGGGAGGACTGAACCACAGGTGCGAATAAAAAGGACCCGAAAGTGAGCAAATAATACAGGGAACCATGAGCCAAAATTACTCGCCTGCAAACTCTTCAATGTCCCTCTCAAACTCGCATTCGACGATTCAACATCCGCACGACTGCGTTTCGTCGGGTCGCTAAAGTATGTCTGCGCAATACCTGGCTGTTGGCGCACGACGTAAGTCAGACACGTCATCATCCACACGCATCACGGCACAACACTCACCCACTCCCGACTGAATGTCCCCAACCTCAGCAGCGGGCCCATGAGAGACAGCCTCTCAAAGTTCGCAGCCGTCACTTCCACCCCGAAACCCTCACCGAGCCATTGCGGCATTTTCGTGATCATCTCCGCGATGGGCTTTACTCCAACGAGGGCTTCCATGCCGCCTATGACGCCGCGCCATGCTGAGTCCCCGCCGCTTCCGCCGATGCCCTCGGATGGTATGATAAGGGAGTGCGCGACGAGGGTGCTGATGAGGGTGCTCAGTGTGCTTAAAAGTTCATCCTGGAGGAAGAAATAAGTTTGAGCTTGAGGGAATGTATGTGTTCTACGATAGAATGTTGTGAGGTAAAACCACACGCACTGGGTCTGTAAAGCGAGCTGCAAGGTCCTGCAAGAACGGCTGAATCTCTGTGGGAGCCAGCGTGGTTTGAGGGGTGGCTGTGGATGCATACAGAGGCGTAGAAAGGGTAGAAAGGGAGAGCAGGGGTGTGAGCAGCTCGTGTGAACCGAGGGTTGATAGCGGGCGACTATAAATTTAAGAGAAAGTAAAGTTGAAACAGGCGGAAGAGAGAAAGGGTAACTATTCAGTGACACGTCAATTAAATATGAGGAGAACGCACTCGGCGGGTTGTGGGAACATATCTGGCTCCTGAAGGCTAAGACCTGTGTAACTGATGATGAGGTCTCTGAGCTTGTCGAGGAGTACAGTGGCCTGCTGGGTTTCAGAGACGGGGTTCTGGGATTTTGTGAGATGATTTATTAAGGTGTAGAAGAGGTGAGAGCACCTTCTTGAGTAAAGTTGATTTGGCAGTGTTGATACGCTTCCAGCAGCCTACAAGATACTCGAAGACGGACTGAGGAGGGAGAGAGGCAAGTACTGAAACATATTCGAGGTCATCGCTGCATTTACGACTTGGTCAGTGATCGTTTACAACTCAGGCGGTGATCGAGTGCAAACGTTTGAATAGGATCGATGAATGAGATATGAAAATGAATGATAAGAGGCGACCGAAGAAAGAAACTTACGACATGGCCTGGGCATCAAGCTCGAGGCGAGTGATGAGGAGTCGATCCACGATATCGCTCGTAAGAGTCATGTGGGCTATTAAAGCTACATCGGTGAAACAAGTGGATTATATATAAGACGTACAGTAACCCTCAGACTCAAGTTCAGCTTGAAGATGCTTGAGCCACACGAGATCATACTCGTTTGCCTCGGCAATTGATTTCTGTTCACCAATGAGGTACAATTACAACGGCAAAGAAGCGGAGAGCATACGCTAAGTGTAACCTTGAGGACTGTAGATATTGTGTCGTTCTCCCATGTTTGGTAATCGACTTTGGGAGCAGGCGCGGCGGACTTCCTCTTCAAAGGGACATTACGTTGAGGGGGCGGAGTTGTTGATTGGGGTGGAATGAAAGGAGGTTTTTGTTTTGGGTGTGGAAGCTGGGCTACGGGGGTTGAAGGCCCAGGAGAGGCGGGCGAAGGGGTTGGTGAATTAGATGTAGATCCCGCCTGTAACTTTGCAAGGCGCTTTGCTCGGATCTGGTGCACGAATGATCAGTTATCTTCAGCATAAATAAACGAAATAACCATACACGATCAGCATCAGTGGGTTCACTCATCGTCCAGGTCGTCAACTAAATTGTAACTTGGTACACTGCTAGATGCCCTTTATATCAACACGTGACTAGAGTTTGTCTCCTTTAGCTGTCCCTCTCTTTTTGGTTGCGATCCATCAAAGCGACTAGAAAAAAAAGACTATGGATATACAGTATCGAGCTTCGATCTCAGTCAATTATGGGGAGAACTACCACTCCATAAGACCAAACATTTCCAGGAAGCCCACGAGTCCTCCAAGTCCTTCCAATCGAGCACTTTCTGGATCATCGAAATTGTGCTCTCCAAATTCCAGCGCCTCGTCGAGGAAATCGTCATCCCAAGCGAAGCCTGCAGATTATTTCTGCCCTCGAATGGAGTTTTGAATGGGGTACGCGGAGAGCCCATCTGTCCACCGCTGGGAGACTAGGTAAGGACGTTAGCGATTCCGACGACATGGAAGTGTCCACTCCAACGTTGACTCCACTCGGAGACACAGGGACTCGATGATGTCTGCTGGGGGCTCTCGGTCGCGACCCAGGTTGTGCTTGAGCCAAGAAAGCCTTTTGCCACTTCGGCATCGAAAAGTTCTGGAGGGAGGCGTTCTTTTTCGACATCTGACTTTCGCCTGGTGAAAGATGTAATGAACACCGAGAACGTGTGCAGGGGAAAAAGTTGTACATACGCATCCTCGAAGCGGAAATGGCATCTTTAATGCCCTCAGTATCCAAGACTAGCGTTCCGTATGGCAACTTGCTAGAACCAGATATGCTCTTGAGCACCGAAACCTTCTCTGACTCCTCTCTGCTCCAGATTCGCCAGACTAGCGCAACGTCGAAGTTGAGAGTCACCTCCGAGGCACTATTTACGACACTTACTTCCGACATGCGTCTGGAAAGGCATCATGGGCAAGTATGAGGACGAGCTCGACTTGTGGCTTTCATGTCCCGCCGAACCCTCCGTTCAACCCCTGCAAACTCACCGGGAGCAATAGCTATCTTGGACTTTTGGGTGTCGCATGGGGTCTTGGATTGTGGGGTCGCGTTTCACAGATGGAGGCTTGAACACCGGTGATGATACCTTGTGCATATCGTTGGGCGACTCCCATTCGCGCTCTGAACTGCCAGATTGTGTTCCCGAAGACCTTTAGATGAACCATCATACAACCGTGTTTCCTTCTCTGGAACTGACGACCATGCCTGCAACTCATCCAATACAACTCTCGAGGTCCACTGGACTTGTGTCACTTTGTAACTTTGTCATTGGGCTATTTTTACTTCACACAAATTGTATAATATTAATATGGTCAGGCTTGCTTCACTGAGCCAATTGAAATAAATATTGTGTCGTGCTTTCTGATTAATTATTGCTGCTTGCTTTTGCGCAATGCGTGCATACTAATCTCCACTTGAGGCTTTCACATTGACACGATTTGCTGTGTCAAATACTTGAAAATTTGATGTAACTGAAAGCCACAAATTACATACATATACTCGTCTACATTGAGCACACTTGTATGGGCCACATCAGGGAGGTTACATAAAACGCAGACCAATCGCAGGTGAAATAAGGAGCAAAGCGGAAAGTGTAAACTACTGGTGATATCTAGCGTGATTGAGGCTTGCCGCATACTTCCACATAATTTCTATCAATATTGTCCCCATGTTCACGACGTATGTGACCATCCAAAGCACAGTGACGGCGCGGCAGATTATGCTTTGAGAGGAAAAGCCTGTTATCAACATCGCTGGGGTGAAAATGCATAAGGGACCGGAGAGCCTCAAATGATGGAATAAGTCACCAAATATGAAACAATGTAGGGACCAGGCGACGAAGAACATGGGGGTGACTATTGACAACAGGTAGGATAACACGAAGTAGCCACCTGGCTTGAGTTGCTGATCGTATTTAGGTCAGTTGGTGCAATCGGTGTGGTGACGATGATCCTTACTTCTTGAGTCCAATGCCGATCGGTGTGTATCCAACGTATCATGCCGGAGCCGGATGTCAACAGTGCGATCATAGCGAGCATGAGCGATATTAAGAGCAGACAATGCGGAGCGGGTGACGTATAGTCAAAGTATGACACAGGGGAGCCCGTAGTGACGAAGACACCACTTAAAGCGAGGGCGACGCTTGCCTTTGTGGGAGAATGTCAGCGTTGGCTAGAGCTCGTGGCGCACGCGGAGTTGGATAGCTTACTGTGGTGATGGTGCTGGCCAGGATAGAGCACAATTTGTTCCTAACGATTTCGAACGCTTCCTCGGATTGCAGCGACTTCCAAAGATCATTAAGATCTGGGCGTCCAGTGACAAAAAACAGAGTACCCTCATTAAAAGAGACCTGCGACGAAGGGCTTCGGGAAGGGGTTGTTCTTCAGTAAGTGCTCTTGGCCAGTCACATGTAACTTGAAGGGCAAGCGTAATTCAGTGATACAGCAAGGTTTTCAAAGTTTTCAAAGCGCACCTCAGTGAAATAGAGTGAGGCCATGGAGCCAAATGGAAGAGTAAAGATGGACTAAGGCTCATACTGAGAACAGGGAGTTGCGACCTTTTATAAAGGAAGAATGAAGCTGTGATTGTAATACCCGCTTCGGCAGCAATGGGGCTTCAAATGACGCCTCCGAGGGTCCACTAGTTCGGTTCAGGGCATGAGTTTAGGGCCCGTGGTTAATTTTAGTACCAAGAAAGTCGACTTGAAGGTCCTGTGCTAGTGGTGAGAAAATAGACTCGACGTTAGATGTCTTCGAATGCACCCAGTGAAAACCGGACCTCACCGTATCGACGGAAAACGGCCGTAATATTGATGAACCCCAGGCAAAACTGGACATGGCCAGAACGGTTGAGATTGCGTGAAATATCGTTTAGACATATAATTTATGCTAAAATATTGTGTAATCTGCAACGGCACCACATTGCTATCGTTTCGTTGTCACTGTACTATCCCTTCCACTGCAATCGGCACCCCACAGAAGTCGGCAGTCACGCAAATGTCACCGTGAGTCACGACATGTCACGTAGGCCGATTTCAAAGTCAGTTCGGCAGTCAAGCAAGAGCGCAAGGTCAATTAGTATTCGGCGTGAATGTTTGAACGAGCAAGTACAGTATTGACTAGTAGATATACCTAAGTACGAGGGTGACTGTTATTAGTGCCATAGTTGTAAAATTGAGGTGGATGTATAGGGAGACTGTGTACATTGTATGGATGGCCAGGCTGAGCCTGAGGTTGTCTATGTAAGTTCGATGATGATGCAATGGGACCGCTGGATGGATTATTATTCTGCATTGTAGGTAATATGGCGCCTGAAGAGCTGGATTAGGGTAGAATTGATGAAAATATGGCTGGTTAGTAAGGTGCGAAGGATAATTTGAGTTGAAAGCATGCGTGGGAGAAGTGAAAAAATGATTGCCGCTGAAAGCCACAGTGTTTGACGAGGTGGCGCCGTTGTCCTGCGAGGTGCCGCTAGTACTGGCCTGTCCCGTTGATGATGCGGTGGCCGAATTCTTCGAACGTGTTTTTCCTGTCTGGAAGAGCGCAGAAAAACGTGGATTATCAGCAAAGTGCTGATTTTCGGCATCAGCAAGAAACTCTTTGATTCTCACTTGGAGTTCGTCGACTGTCCCATCTCTCGAAATCTTAAGAGCACCAGCAAGCGTGATGAAGTCGTCCTTGTGCCAGAGTGTTGAGAGTGCATCAAATGTCTTTGACCCAATATCATGTTCAATCTGAGCATGACGCACTTCATCTTCAGACTTCTTTTTGGCCTGTTTCTCCGCATCGAGCTTGTCTTTTTCACGCCGCTCTTCCTCCGCTTTATTGAAGTCCTCCTTGAGCTCTGGGTGTGTCATGAAACGGGCCTGTAATTTGACAGATTTCCTTGGCTGTTTCTTTTTCTTTACATTCTCCAACTCCAGTCGAGATTGAGCCAATGCCTGCTGTGCCATTGTACAGTGTGCATTTGTAGCGTCAAGCTGGGCAGTCAGGATCTGAGTCGTCTGAACTAATGCCCCATTCTGCTCATACATGCGCTGGAGCTCATGCCAAAGTTCCTCCTTCATCAATGTCATTGCCTGAACATATGAGGGGATAACTGGATGTTGGATGGGCCTGATAGTTGCAATGTTGAGCGGTGATGTGAGTGTCATTAGAGGGGGCTGTGTGTCTTGCTGGGGCATCTCTCCTTCGTCTTTGTCTTCATCTGACTCCGAGTTGTCACTTTGAGGTCCTTCCGAGTCGCCTGAGTCAGAGCTCCGAGAGTCTGAGTCTGAGTCATGTTCATCAACAGCCATGGGAAAAAAATTGCTGTCATCCTCCGAATCCTCTTCTTCGTGGTTGCCATCCAGTCTCATCAACTGGTCAAATTCTTCAACGTCAGAAGGAATTGCCATTGGAGATGAAGGGACTTCAGAAGGATATGATGGGGGAAGATGTGCAGTAGTTGAATAAACCAGGCTTGGTGCAAAGTCCTTGTCTGTGAAGACCAATGGATCAAGAGGATAGATACCAGTTTTTTTAAATGCTTTCTGGATGAGTTCTGGTGTAATGACATGGTGAATGGCCATATATTCATGAATAAAATTATAGTGATCAATTTCAACCCCATCAGCAAGGTGTTTGTCACAATGTTTGGTCCAAGCACGCTGAACAGAGGAAAAAATGCCCACATCCAGTGGTTGAATTTTGTGCGTGGTTTTCGATGGAAAGGCATGAATTATGACACCATTATCATAAGCTGCCCTTTTGATAGCTCTTTGTTCGTGTGAACTATGACCATCAACCGTCAGAACAATTGGTTTCTCAGGATCAACACAGTATTTCTCTGCTGTAGGAACAAAGTGGTTCCTGAACCAATAATCTGCAATCTCATGATCTGTCCATCCTGTTGGAGAGAAAGAAACGCTGTCCAAGGATATCACAGTGTTAGTAGAGCACAATGATATGCTTATGTAGCTTACTTACCCACCTACTTTATCTTTTAGATCTCGAATATCTGGGGCTGGTCCTTCTGAAAGGACAAACCATGGTGGCATCTTAGCACCCGCAGCTGAGATGCACTTGATAATGGTTACGAGCTCTAGATTATTGCTATGGACCTGATAATGATCTGAATCTTCTGCAGAGAAAATGAATTTCATGCCAGCATTTTTCCTTCCCCCTGCCCATTTGATTGCCTTTCTTGTCCATATTCCAATGATGCTCTGGTGGAATTTTATTATGGTCATCATCAAGCTTCTTTCACATCTCAAAAAACTCCCCAATGGTATCCTTGTTAAAATTTTGAGCACATTTTGGATCCAGTCCACTTGCTTGAGATATATGAAGGGATGGATGTCGATGAATGAAGCCATAATGCCACTTTCATGATGGGAGTTGGCCAGTTATTTCCTTAACAGACACATGCAACTTTGCAGGGTGAATAGGAGTTGCAGATGTGGATGCCAGGTTACACCAGTCAGCAACAGTTTCCTCTTGTGCAGCAGATAATAATTGCTGGCTCTCGTGGGCATGCTGATGAAACTTATGCACTCCCAAGCATTGGTCACTCAGTGTCTGACATGATACCTAGACCAGTTGAGTGAATAATCACATGATGAAACATGACTCACATTCTGTTCCTTAGCTGCAGCTGCAATGGATTTATATAACCCATTTGCAATTCCCTGAATTGCAGCCTGAATATGTGACTCATAAGTTGGGTCTGACGAAGCTCGCAGCTTTCCTTGTCTGCCGCTGCTAGACTTGTGAATGCGGACCAGCCCCATAGCCAGCAGCACTGCACCAGTCAGCACTTCCAAAGTGGGTGTGTGCAATTTGAGACTCCATCACAGCACATATTGGCAGGTGACATTTCTGCGTGACTTTGGCACTTTTGACTATCTCGCTCAATTCTGCTTTAATCATGGTTGTTCAACCTTGGAATGAGTTGTATTAGACAGAGAATGATACCTATGTTAAGAATTTTGTGTTTAAGTAGCTAGAAATATGAGTTTTGTGAAAGTGCTGACTTCTGTGGGGTGCCGATTGCAGTGGAAGGGATAGTACCATCATTTTACCATCGTCTCACACGCATTTCGTGTCAATCACATTGATCGCACACGTACACAATTGATGCAACACATTTTCATTCATGTGCAGCCTTGAAACCTATCCCATCATATTGCTAGTTCTACCCTCCTTGTGTAGTAACTCTCTTTGGTGTAACCAGGGGGCAAAACACATAAATAGGTGGAACTGGCAGAAGGAAGGTTCGAAGATCCAGTAAGTACAATTCAATCATATCTTGTTCAAAGTTCTCATTTTGTTCTGATGATCTAGTGTGTTTCTTGATAGTGTTTTTGTCGATGTGCACACCACTTGCGTTCACGTGCAATATTGCTGGACTCCCTTTGGTGTTTTTGTATGTCTGATTCCATGTCTTACATAGATCTATTAACTGATAATTGGCAATATCAGCCTACCTATGCCCATAGACCTGCCAGTGGGTTACATGTGTGTCTGCAAGAGGCACAATGGCAGTTGTCCCCATGCTGTCTCTCGCTCTACGTGGTACAAACACTTGCAAGCAGCTGAAACCGAGGAAGAAAGAGACACCATTCATGCCAGGAATCTCTCTCTCAATTTACATGCACAGATTCGAGCTCACGCTGATGCCCTTGGTGAATTGTCTTCAAGTGCTGGTCCTTCTCGAAATGTTGCGACTGATGCAGGAAGCTGTCTGCCAGAAAGACCTGATGAGGCAGCACAAGGGAGTCATGTACGAGAGCACCACCTGCCTACCCCATCATCTCCACATGGCAAATAGCGCGGCCTTGTTGATGAAGACCCCATCATTCCCATGGGTGACAAAGATCAGGATTTCAACATGCAGGATAATGGGAATCTAGATGGACCAGGTGATGGGGATATTGGTGGATGGAGGGATGGGAATTTGGATGGGTGGGGTGATGATGGTCGCAGAGATGAGGAGGTCCATGCCCCACAACACAATAATCAGAGAGAACAACCAGCTATTGATATCAAGGAACTCGCACAATGAGCTGTCCTCCCTAAAATCAAAACAACCATGGAGTTTATTTTAGCACTGCAGTCTGCATTGTTAGGCGACCCTGTTGCAAAACTTGACGAAGAGGCCAGAAGTAACTTGCGGAACCCTCCTCATGAACCTCTGGATATCACCAATCCCATCATTTGCCACTTGATCTCAACCTACTATGCTCTTGAGCACTCATCACAGAGCACTTACAAATGCATTCATTCTTCTACAGCATGCACGTTCCCTGGTACAGATGAGATGCCCAGTTTCTATAGGATTGAACGCATGATTGCCGAGTACACTGGAGTTGAGTCTATAACTCATGACATGTGTCTGACACATGTATTGCTTATCACCGGTCCATTTGCTGACCTCGACCACTGCCCTGTCTGCAACAAACATTGGTATGATCAAATTAAACTGCAGGCTAGCAGGGGCCATAACAAAGTTGCCTGGAAATTCCATACCATTCCTGCTGGACCACAGCTCCAGGCACTTTATCATGATCACAATAGTGCAAAATGTATGTGATATTGCACTGACTGCACAGCAAAACTATTTGACAAACTTCATGAGTCAGGGGGGTCGATTGACGTGTATGATGACTTTGTGATGGGGAGCGATTATCTCAATGCAGTTCTTGAAGGCAAGATCAGCAAGAATGATATCATATTGATGATATTGATGGATGGCACTCAGCTCTACCAGAGCAAGCTATTGAATTGCTGGCTATATATTTGGGTTGTTATGGATCACGCTCCTGATGTTCGATACAAAAAAAAACATGTCCTTCCTGGTGGATTTATCCCTGGCCCCCACAAACCAAAAAACATTGATTCATTCCTCTTTCCTGGTCTCCATCACCTTGCCGCACTTCAGAATGAAGGCCTCTCAGTCTACAATGCCTGGTGCAATACTGTGTTCTTATCACATCCATATCTTTTTCTTGCAACTGCTGACAGTCTGGGTCTCATGTATTTCGATGGAATGGTTGGTCACTGTGGCAAGAATGGATGCCATCTATATTGTGGTGTGATTGGGCACCAAAAGGAGTGAGGAACATATTACTATCCTGTCCTCCTTCGTCCAAACAACTTCCATGTCACCAGATGCGACCATCCTGATGTTGATGTGTTCAACCTTCCTCTTGCTGCATCGCAGAACTATGCTACAAACCTCCTTCATCTTGTATCATCTCCAAATCAATGTCAGTATGACAAGTGCAAGACGGAAACCAGCATCACAAAACCCAGCATTCTCCTCAGTCTCAATCCCTCTCATATGCTACAAGTACCCGCTTGTTTCTCCACAGATATTATGCACCTCACTGGGCTTTTGAGTGACTTATTACTTTCACTCTGGTGAGGAACGATCAATTGCACAGCTTCAGATGATGTCAAGTTGTGGGAATGGAGAGTTATGCATGGTGATGTGTGGGAGGCTCATGGCAAAGCTGTGGCAGCTGCCAGACAATATCTTCCTGGTTCCTTCGATTGAAAACCACGCAACATAGCAGAAAAAATCGATACCAGTTATAAAACATGGGAGTTTCAATTGTATCTGTTTGGCCTTGCTCCTGCACTTACATATGGCCTTCTGCCAGAGCCATACTGGCTTAACTATTGCCAGCTCATTGCAGGCTTTTGGATCATATACCAGCATTGTATCACTCGCTCTGATTTGCAAAGGGCCCAGGTCATACTTGGTGAATGGGAGCTAGAATTCGAAGAGCTATACTATCAGCGCCGCCAGGATCAGATACATTTCATCTGCCCTTGTGCCCATCAAGTCAACCATCTCGTGTCCAAAGCCATTCAGAAAGGACCCCCAGTCTGCTATGCCCAGTGGATGATGGAGAGGACCATCAGAAACCTGGGCCAGGAGATCAGACAGCCTTCCAAACCTTACGCAAACCTTTCCAGAGAGGGAGTCTGTCGCTCGCAAGTCAATGCCCTCAAGGCAATGCTTCCAGAGCTTGATGAACCACTCAAGGGACTTCCCAGTGGTGCAATTGACCTTGGCGAAGGCTATGCTTTGCTCCAGAAACAAGATTGTTGGTCAGCCTACCCACAAGGTGCCGAAAAACACGCTATCACACTCTTCCTGAATGAGCCTGCTCCTGAAATTTTCAAGTGGGCTCATCTTAAGTTGCCTAATGGACAAATTGCATGTTCACTCTGGTGGGAGTCATTGAAATCAATGGATGCCACTAAGCCTCTACAAGTTTCTCATAATGTCAAGGTAGTTTTCTCACTACCAATGTTAAATACTCTCAAGGCTCTAACACCACATGTTTAGTTTTCTCTTGATGGTGTGATACAATTTGGAGAAGTCCACTATTTCACGCAGCTTGCTATGGAGACCATTGGCAGTGATGATGGCAAAATGGAATGGTCATTCATCAATGTCGCAGTCATCTCACTGTTTTCCCTCCCAGATAAGGAACTTCTTGAACTCTCATCTCATGTTGTTGCATCCTGCACTAATCATGGAGATGATGATATACTGTTAAGGTTGTACTCAAGGGATAACTGGATCCAAAGGGCTTCAGCCTCAGCTCATGTGCTGTGCCCCTTACCTGAGTATTGCCCCTTATTTCAGGTAGGGCTGGCCACTGTAACCATATATGGTTATGGCCATACAATTTACAGTGGGCTTACAGGTACTACCTGTACCATACTGTATGTTGTACAAAACATTCAAAACATTTGATGGTACGGTATGGGTCATCATATGGTCATATGACCGGCTATATGGTTGTACAGGAGATGAAAAAACATCGAATTACAGTAGTACTAACCATGTAGCAAAAGGTATATACAAATATGAATCAATCAATCACTGTGATGGCATTATGAGTGAGGCGCAGACACTGCTTAAGCAACATCAATGTCCTGATAGTGTTGGGTTGGAGACTAGCATGCTGAAGAGAGATAGTATCATGGCCAGTGGAAAAGATGTGTTCGACAGCAACAGCAGAGCCTGCACAACATGCGGGGAATTAGTGTACCTATGTACAATAGTTGAGCAGATTGAACTCACCAGGAATAGCAAGAATATCCTGAGCCAGACGTGAGAGGTTCGGAAATTGTGAGTGGCGGCCTGCCCACCATTGAATGGGGTCACAGGCATCAAAGTCCTTCATGGGCAGCCTAAAGTACTCCTCAAGCTTGTCTCTTGAGGTCATTGGGCACTTCTTGTACCAAGCTGTAAAGTTCACTTTCTGTGGTGATCCAGATGGGGTTTCTGCTGCCACAGGTTGAGGAATGATGGTGGGGGAACTCAAAGCTTGCAATGAAAGGTAATTGTTTTGATAATACCGGTGCAACTGGTCCTTTGCATTGTCCAAGTGGTCACATAGTGTTTGGTCATCACATCCAAGGCCTCCTTGACTGGGAGGCAAGAAAAAGAATTGTTGCCATTGACAGTGACTTTTTTTTTTGGGTACATGATGAGAATGGTGTTGGCAGCATGAGGGCCGATCATCATCAGTGTGGTTGCCTTCAGCTTGGATGAGAGCGTTCATGCACTCAACATTTTTGGGATGTCTCCCATGGCCAAGAACCTCCTGAAAGGCTTGATCCTTGGCAGGTACACATGTGGTGGGAGCATCAGATGACATTGAGCAATTGTATGAGATTTGGAAGGGGGGACAGCAAGCAATGAGAGTAAAGCAACAGCGCTGGTGGATATCTTGACTGGTGTCATGGTTCCTCCAGAATCAGAGCAATGGAATTGAAGAACATAGCTGGACATGACATAGTACATGTTAGAATCTGATTGATTATATATTGTAGTAGAAGATGCACCAGTACTTTGAGGATTTCCATGGCATGAGGATCAGGTCCAGAACAACTTGTTGCAAAATAAGACATATGGCTACTGCATGTATCAAGCTAAGTCTATTTGTTTATACACAATAAACAAACCATACTCACACTGTATTACGGCCGTAGTAATACAGCAACATACAGGCCCCTTACACCCATAACCCATAACCATCAACTGAAGGTCTAAACAGCCAACAGTATAGGTATGGTGACCATATTATGGCCCCATAAAGTCCCATCATATGGCATACGATGAACAGCCCTAATTTCAGGAAGGCAAGACTAATGTGTCCAGAAGGTTGGACAAGTATTGTAGCAGATCCGGATGACTTCCGGATGCAGGATAGGTATCATAGGGCTAATCCGGACTAGTCCAGACTAGAAACTAATGGTAATGGACTGTCAGAGACAGAGGCGGATACAGATAGACTATAGGAATCAATCCTAAGTCTCAGAGGGTGATGAGAGTAGAGATACTCAAGTCCAGAGGACAGGAATGAGTAGAACTAAGATGATATTCGAACTGAGGTGCTACAGAGAGTTACAGGAGGTTATATACTATAGGTATCTAATGGAATGATCAATCAGCAGAGTCCAAGGCTATGTACAAAGCATATGGGTAGTCTATTGGTAAGTAGAAACAGATCACGAATCATGAAACGGAAATGAAACATAGGTAACAGATCAGGGAGCAGGACGGATATACAGATAACTGAAATACCAGAGTTAGGGGGTTACTGAAAAGAGACAAGCACTGGTTGTAGATTCAGATGAGTTGTGGACCGGACTGGATGAGTGGACAGATTGAATGATGAGATGTTGGAGGGAGATAAGATGTGGATAGGATCTGAGATAAGATGTGGATCTGAGATGAGATAAGGGTCGGATCTGAGATCTGGATATGTGGATATGACACCAGCTGAAAGCACAAATCTACTGTCCCCGATCCTGTGGTGACTCCATCTGACATGCTGACCCCACTGTCCACACCCACACTGCCATCCAATGATATGCCCACACCCCCTGCATCAGCTACTGTCAAGTCAGCAAGTGTTAAAAAATTTCGACCTTGTACATCGAAGAATGGAAGGTATGTCATGTGTTGATCTAGAACACAGTAGCAACCTTTGACATGGAGTCTTGGACTTAGGTCACTCTGCACACATCAGTGGTTGAAGCAGGTTGCTCCAAATGGCTCATCAGCCAATTTCAGGATTTACTGGTCCGGATTGACAAAAGAGAAGCAGCTGGTAGGTACTCCTGTGATACATGTTTCACAACATTGATTTCTGTCTTGCAGGCTTATGAAACAGACATGCTGAAGCTGGTAACAAACTTGACTAAATGCGCCCTCATCCTGATGCAGGTGTTTACAATTTTTTTCTCAGGTCAAGGATGATATATGGAACAGCAATACAGTTGACATCATCAGCAAGATCTCTTCTGGCACCTTATACTAGTCGGCATCCAGGGCGCATGCAGAGGTCGACATCAGGTGGCCTGCTGGTGAGGACCAGGGGGGTGGCAGGCCGCAGTGGGCAGTATCAACCAGCTATTCATTTGCTTTTTCTTGCAATGTATATCAGCATCATTTTCATGCAATTTCCATAGTTTTATTGCCTGGTACAACTACAATTGAGAATCTATGATCATCAATGGAAATATCATATGTGAGAATCAGCACAAAATTGTGAGATCTCCGTCGAACAGCATCACTAGAAAATCTCATATATGTCCCATTCTCTATGGAAATCTATGGAAATCTTGTGTTCCTGGTTCATCCCCAGGGAAAACTGGACATGGCCAAAACTGTTGGAATCATGCAAAATATGACAAGTTTGGGAGCAACATATTTTGCTATAGGAGACTTGCTGTGGAGACAAATAGAATATTTCACATCCATTGTGATCTTCTCAAATATTGTAGGGTATGTTGAGAATATTTATATCATATTTCACCACATTTCTTTCAGTTGCGTGTATGAAATAAAATCAGTTGTATTCATGCCAATTGTGCTATAATCTAATGGTACAAATAACTTGACTGGCAACCAGAAAACATGATATGTGACCAGAAAGCACGATAATGATGCGAAACACAGCAGATCAACATGGCAGCAGCAAATACAACACAGCAATGAGGCTGGCAAGCGAGAGCAAACAACTGCAGGGCAATGAGGCAGGCAAAAGCAGGTGAGCAAGAGCAGATGACTGTGGGGCAATGAGGCAAGCGAGAGCAGACGACTGCAAGGCAATGAGGCAGGCAAGATTAGGAAAGCAATAGGGATACTAGTATAATGAACTGTTGGCGATGTCACTATTCTTCATCCAGCCTGCATCTTGTTCCTAGATATTCTCAGCGACTTGACAATGGAGAGAGTGGCTGAACTTACTAGCTGCTTGGCCTCAGTATCATAAGATTTGATCTGCACCTCATTCAACTTCGAATAGTAGACATTGAATTCATTAGTGGAACCAGCTGCATTGACTTGTTTAAGCCAGCAAAATGCACAGAGGTTCCTATACAATCAGATAAGTAACAATCCTTACAATTAGACAAAAACATGTACTGCGCATTCTTCTTTGGACCTGGGCACATTTTCATGGCCTTCTTTGATGACATGGCAGCAGCAAGGACATCAGACTGAGGAGAGAGTGTAGTTGGTATACAAGGTGACAGAGGTGTGTTTGTGCCAGTCAGGTCCACTGTAATTGAAGGGGATGCCATTGCAGGCTTCAAAACAGAATCAGAGGGACCAAGACTAGTGGTAGTTGATTTCGATAATGGCCGACAAGTCAAACTGGCACTACATTTGCAGTGTTGTGGTTAGTAATAATGTGCAAATGTAGTAGACACTTACAGAGGATTTGTCAAAACAATGCGACTCAGAGTCAGCGGCATTGTTGCTAAAGCCAGAGGTGCTTCATTTTCTTTTTCTGCTTCAAGCAACTTGAACAGGGGAGGAATTGAAGTATTGGAATCTGCTAGTGGGAGGTTTGTCTTGATAGGACTAGGGCTGCCTTCAAGTAGCACTGGCTGAGATGTAGGGATGTCAGAATTGACTGGCAGGAGAGGTCCTGTGGATTCGTCTGCAAAGACATATTATGTGTGAGTGTATGTGTGGAAATCAAAAGAAAAAATACCTTTCACATGCTTCAAAGCACTGGCCCCCTCAGAATCAGGGCTGCATGTTCGCTTTATACTACTGCAGTAGTCAATATTGTCATCTTCTTGTTTGACTTTCTTCAACTGCTTCAAGAGGTTACTGTCGGCATCAAGATGGTTCTTGCGCCATGAAGGGTAGGCAGTGCTGCACAATAAGTCCAACTTCCAGCTGTCAGTCGCTAATCTAAAAAGAGGGTGCTTCTCTTCCATGATGCTGTGGAACAGTGTTCTGGTCAAGTGCATCATTTTGCTCCAGCTGGTTGCAAGAAGTCCTTTGGTGGTGAATTTGAACCAGAGGCCATGAATGGTTTTGCAGATGATGTCAAGTGATTCTTCTGTGATCGCCTCACCATTCTTGTCTTCTAGGAAAGCTGCGGGCCTGTGCTTTCCCTTCTGTTTGAGTCCCTGTGATGTTGTCTGCCACTTGTCCCAGTCTGCATGTGTCCAAAAAATGACACCAGGATAATCATTCTTGTTGACTGGGGATAGTTGGTTTGTCGAAGATGTTGGGGAGATACTGGCACTTGTGAAAGTCATAGGATCTGCATGAACAAGCTGCACGTTACAAGCAAGTTCACAGAATGCTCCCCTGTCAAAACAAACATCAATTAAACAGTGTGGATATAGAAACACAACAGCAACATACTCCAATGTTGAATATGCAGTTTTGGCTGTAACAAGCTTGAGCTGAAGTTTGGTTACCTGATTCTGTAACGTATTAATATACAAGTTGCTGTTTGAATATCCACTCTGGGGTTTTAAATCAGTGTAGCAAAATATTCATATAGATTTGACTTACTTGAAAAAGGGAAGAGTCACCCGGACGCTCTAGGTTGTCACTTGACTGGGGGTATTCAAGACCATGTAATGGCAGTAGTTGACTGGGCCCAGAAGGCAGTGGGGATGGTGTTTGTATTAACGTCGGACTAGAACTATTAGAAAAATGATAATGGGGAAGCTGGGGGGTATAGAACATCATAATGGTTGCAGAGAAGGAGAGGCATATAGGGTTGGGGTGTTTTCAAGTTGACATCAGAACCAATGCGCATATAATGAGGTCAAGCTTAGTCATCAACTCACTGAAATTCTTCCAAGTCTTTCCAGTCCTCATATCCTAAGCTCCAGCTACATAGTACATCTTCCATGGCTTCATCTAACATTATTGACTGCACAGATAACGTCTTTATCCAGGACAATGTCATGGTAATGGACATTGACAACCTTCTCACTGGATGGCCAACCTACAAAGTAAATTTCACACCTCAAAATCCAGGACCCATGGTGAGTAAACTGAATGCCTAGATACACTTGATTATATGCTAACAATTATTCTATAGAAACTCATCATCCGGCTTAAAGATGCTGTCAAGCTCATTCATATTGAAGACACAACAGATAGTGAGGCTGAGCTCTTGTTTCTGGGCAAACCAAAAGGACAAAAGAGAACCTCTTCTGATCACAAGAATAAGCAAATCAAGACATAAGAATCAATGTTCTCACCCTGAGTTCCTACTAACATGCTTACAGTAACTCAATCATTAATGCAAACAAGATTGCAGAAGATCTTGCGGCCCTCAAAATAACATCTCTGGCTTCCAGGTAGGGTTTGCTTTTATCACCTTGATTATTTAAACTAACAGAAATTTATTTACCAAAGTAACTCATTCAAAGCAAACCCGGTACGCTTGGTATGAATCTACAAAGCTCCTGCCAACGTGCCTTCTGAATGATGCAAGTTTGTTGATGACTCAGACACACCATGGCCACCTCATCACTGCTGCACTCTTAGAGACATTGAAACTAGTGAAGAAATCTCCCACTTTGACATGCTTAGGGCATTGCCTGGTGCTGTTGCAGCAGAATGACATCCTCCTCCTCTCTTTGCAGTTCTCGCACCTGTCTCATTGCAGTTTGTTCTCATAACTGTCATTGCATAGTTCTCATAACCATCTTCACGCAGTTCTTGTACCCAATCCGTCCTCATGCATTTCTTGTACCCATTTCATTCATTGCAGCTTTTGCAACTGCCTCATTGTATTTTTCCAATCCATCTCATTGCATTGTTCACATCTGTCTCATTGCACCGCTTATATCTGTTGTGCTGGACCTTGATGTTAAGAACCATGTTGCTCAAAGGAGAGAGAGACTGACTCAGAGGGGCTTGGCCTCAGCTCGTACGCTGTGCCCCTTACCCAAGTATGTGCCCTTCATTTCATATGAGGTCCGATGATGGTCCGATGAAGTCCAGAGGACTTCTGGAGGCTGGCTACTCTACTGGAGAGCGCTAGAGGACTTCCGGAGGAGCGCGGGAGAGTTCCGGAGGAATGCAGGAAGTGCTCAGGAGAGTTCCCACTGCAAGGTAATACTTCTACAGGAAACAGGATGGAAGGACAGGAGGGCAGGAGGACAGGAGGACAGGAGGACAGGAGGACAGGAGGACAGGAGGACAGGAGGACAGGAGGACAGGAGGACAGGATAATGGAGGACAGAAGGACAGGATGTCCGAAGGTACAGAGGGCAGGATGTCTGAAGGTACGGAGGGCAGAACATCCAAAGGACAGGATGCCTGGAGGTATGAGGGACAGGAGGTCCAGAGGTCCAGAAGGAATAGGGGCTACATTGGACGAAGTCCGATGTAGAAACAAACAGAGGTAGACTATCCTAAGGTAGAGTTGGAGAGACAGGGATTGGACCTAAGTCCGGAAAGAGGGTAAGTGCTGGAAAGGTGGAGCTCTGGCCTAGGGAATCAATCCCTAGGCCTGATGGTAAGACAGACTTAGGTGGACCAAAGTCTGAGAGAGGATTGGGCAAGTCTAAGTTGATATTCAAACTGAGGAACTACAGGAGTATCTACAGGGGTTATATACTGGACAATATCTGAGGGGATCAATAAGCAAAGGAGCAGGGCTATGTACAAGCATGTGGAAACACATTAGTAAGTAAGACGGAACATAAGTAAATGAACTCAGAGATGAAGACTCGTACAAGGATCAATAAGCAAGACGGAAGAAGAGGTAACCGAAAGCTGGAAAGGTAGAGATGCCTAAATGGGGATAGGCGCAGGATCTCAGACAGAGGGTGGGAATAGGTCCGGTGTTAATATCTGGAGGTCCGGAGATCTGGGGATCCGGAAGACAAGGTGGATACAGGACCAGAATATGGGAAGGTGGATATAGTCCAGAATCCAAGATGAGGTGAAGTCTGGATGTCTTGCTGGATGGAGTGTGCATAGGGTGGATGGGACAGGGGGGTATGGATCAGGCTAGCAGTGGAGATCTGATGGTCCAGAGCTCAGGGGTAAATCCAGAGCATAGTTGATCCTGCTGAGGTGTGGAGCACAGTGGAAGGGGATCTGGGAATGAGCTGGATATGAAGTGGGGTCTGGATGTAGGCTCAGAAGGCGTGGGAATATGATGGAACATGGGTCCGGATTGTGGGATATGACACTTGATTGCATTCTGAATTTACTGTAATCACTGTTGTCGCATGTATCTGAGTCACAATACAAAAATAATAACAACTATTGTTGACTTGTTGCATGCAGTGAGACCTGAGTCTGATTTGGAGATTTTGGGTATGCGAAGGATGACATGGGGAACTGCAATTGCAATAGGGAAGGCAAGGAGGAGTGAGACTGAGTCAGGCAAGGCACTAAATGACCAAAGACTTTATCATCCATCCATAGCATCATCTGAATCATTATCACTGTCTTCACCTTCTACTGCATCATCCACTGGTAAAATACCAAATGATGCCACGTCAAGGCCAGGTTTTTCCACCATAAAGAAGCGGTCCTTGACAACTCTGGATGGTAGTCTCGGATGGTGGGGAACCATTGCAACTACATCAGTAATACTCTTTGCATCAATAACATGTATATGTCATATCTGCATATCTGGATCTCAGATCTGACCCTTATCTCATCTCAGATCCACATCTTATCTCCCTCCAACATCTCATCATTCAATCTGTCCACTCATCCAGTCCAGTCCACAACTCATCTGAATCCACAGCCAGTGCTCATCTCTTTTCAGTAACCCCCTAACTCTGGTATTTCAGTTATCTGTATATCTGTCCTGCTCCCTGATCCGTTACCTATGTTTCATTTCCATTTCATGATTCGTGATCTGTTTCTACTTACCAATAGACTACCCATATGCTTTGTACATAGCCTTGGACTCTGCTGATTGATCATTCCATTAGATACCTATAGTATATAACCTCCTGTAACTCTCTGTAGCACCTCAGTTCGAATATCATCTTAGTTCTACTCATTCCTGTCCTCCAGACTTGAGTATCTCTGCTCTTGTCACCCTCCAAGACTTAGGATTGATTCCTATAGTCTATCCATATCTGCCTCTGTCTCTGACAGTCCATTACCATTAGTTTCTAGTCTGGACTAGTCCAGATTAGCCCTACGATACTTATCCCTCATCCAGAAGTCATCCGGATCCACTACACTACTCATCCGACCTTCCAGACACATTAGCCTTGCCTTCCTGAAATAAGGGGCAATACTTGGGTAAGGGGCACAGCGCACGAGCTGAGGCCAAAGCCCTTCAGATCCAGTTATCCCTTGAGTATGACCTTAACAGCTGGCAAGCTTCACACTGCATGTACCTGAGTCAGTGCCAGTTTGAACAAGATTATGGAAGACTTACAGAGGGTTCTTGATAACAGGGAAGGAGGCCTACAATACTATCAGTATTTATGAACATAATACAAGCACAAGTTGGTGACTTACTATGGCTGCAACTGTTACTTCTACAGGCATCTCTGTGTCCTCAGTAATACAAGTGCTCATGTTGATGGTGTCATTGCTATGATCAAAACAGTCTTGAGGGGTTGTATCTGCTGTGTTTGCGTGGGATGAAGCTTTTGGAGAGTTGCTTGCATCATGGGTAGTAGTAATCAGTGAAACATGGAGCACAGGAACAGACACAGGCCTGGGCCACAGGGAAGGAGTCAACACTTCAATAGATTGTGGCTGTTGTGTATCATTGGACTGTTGCTCCTGCCCAGAAGTGTCAATATTGCTTTTCTGAAAATTGAGGACAAAAGTCATGGAAATGTCTTTCAGGGGTGTGTCCTGTTTCACCTCACACTCAGGGAGGGTACTAATAGACTTGTTGCCAGTGATTCGAGACTTCGATGCATCAGACTCAGGCTTGACAGACCCAGATACTTTCCGCTGTTTTGATGTGTCATGATTGTTGAACCCTGTGTTGTGGACCTTCCTTTTTTTTGTCCAGGTGTGTAGCTGTCCATGAGGGATACTGCTCTGTTGCAATCACATGTACCTTCCATCCATTTTCACATAAGGCAAGAATAGGGTGCAAACGTGCCATCTCCTCCACAACTTCGTCAAGGATCTTGTTTCTGGTCTTGCCCCAGGTATTGGGAGCTCAGTTCTCTTGCTTTAAGGTGGCCCAGCAGCTTCACAAACTCTTTGTAATGCAAGTTACCTTGGACTATTCAACTGGCTTGCCATTTGCATTCTCGAGGAAAGGAAAGGTTCTGTGTTCAGTGTACTGCACGTCGGGTGACTTCTTCCATGTTTCATACAAGCTAGGTGTCCAAAATCTCATATTTGGATAGGCACTCTGGTGAAGGGGTTTGGAATGCTTTCGCTCATGAGCTGAGGGTTTGTAGATGGTGCATTTGAAACCAGGTGGAATTCCAGAGAACTTAGCAATGTCCGAGTCACTGACATCAAGGGAAATTGAGGTTGCAAGTATCTTGAAGGTGTTCCTGTAGCAGTATCAGGTACAGTGATAGATACATGTGAAAAACAAACTTGTATGCATCTTGAGATGCTAATAATACATTATTCTGCTGTTTGAGAGTCTTGTTTTCGCTCACTAGAGCTTGAATCTGTTGATGCATGTGCGTATATGCAGCCTTATGTGTTGATTCAGCTAGTACATTGAATATGTTACCATATACTCACTGTTCCATTGTCATGTGGTGGACAATGTCCATAGCTAGTACTAGCCTGTTTTGATGATCCATCTAAGAATGGTGACAGTGAATCTGCCCTCCCATTGTGAGTGCACCGGAGATCTGGAAAGTAAGAAGTATCATTTGGTTCAAGCAGATTTGAAAATAGAGGCCTATGATGCTGCATTTGTGGAGTGTCTGGGAGCATATTCAGTAGGCATAAAAGTCGTAAAGGTCTAAAGGAAAGATGTGAATATCATAGTTGCTGAAGTGTTTGTATTTGATATTATCGACATTGCCAATATCTTATCATGTGCTCACAAAAACATACAGCAATTTCAATTCAAGTGCTATTCATCTTGTACATCAACTTCGACTTTGACACCAGTGAGTGTAACATCAAGCCCAGCTTTCTCTACCATGAAAAATCTGTTTTTGGTGATACCGGAAGGTAGAGTGGGGCAATGTGGAACCATAGCAACAACTGCCCTGATTGTTTTAATGTTGATAATTTGTAGGCCATTGTCACCTTCATGAATGCATGACCATACAGTTCCATGGGAGAAGTCAAGGAGCTGTGCATCTGGTAGTGAGTAAATGGAAATAAGGGCAATATTTTCCCATCGGAGATGATGTCATTCATCCATGTTGTATAATTCATCATCCACATCTTCTGGCTCATTGTCCTCTACTGCAAGTTGCATGAAGTACTGAACTTCCCCGAAACAGTCAATACCATGAACATGGAACTAATGCTGAATTGTCAGATAGTCTACATCAGTGGTAGAAATAAGTACCTTGGCATTATGAGATGTGCGGACATTCTCAGCAGAAGATTCTTTTTCTCTCCAAGTGGAACAGGCAATTTGGCCATTGGGAAGTCGAAGACATGACCACCATCTGAATTTTGGTGCAGGACAATGAAGGAAATCTGAAATAATAGCAGCCTCAAGACCATGAGCTTGCTGAGGCTTTTTATCCCAACCATGAAGCAAAACATATCCATCACCAACATTGAATGAGCCATGTGGGTGTAGATTGTCGTTGGTGTCAAACTGTGGGAGGATGGCCTTGAGAGCATTTACCTGACAACAAAGAACACAGATCTCAGTGAAGTTAGCCATAGCATTGGATGGTTGGCACAAATTGAACTTGATGTCCCTGATTGTCTGCTCGAGAGGCCATTGGGATGAGCAACTGGGAGCACCAACATGAGTTGCTTCTTGTGTGATGTGATTTGAGAGGTGAACACATGGACAGATAAAATGAATGTTGTCAATACAATGCTGGTAATACATTTCCTCCAATTCCTGCTCCCATTCGGCAAAGGAAACACATGCATCAATGACTTCTGCAGGTGTGATACAGTACTGGCTCATGATGTGGAGTCCACGTACAAACTTGCAATAGTGTCAAAAATATCTGTCAGGGAGGACACCATAAAGCAAACCAGGGCCAATACCAAAGAGCCAAGTGATAAACTCATGTGATTTGTAGAAGGAATTGATTTTTTCAACAGGATTTCGAGGGAGAACATCAAAGGAGCCAGGGAGATGCAGGTGCGTAGCAGCAACTGATTTTCCATGAGCCTCCCATACATCACCAACGAGCACTGCCCAATCCCAGTCTTGAACAGAATCAGTAACTGGATGACAGTCTGCAACACCCTGCCAAAGATCTGTATACAGTGATGCCATGTTAGTGCCTGAGAAATACATGATCTCAGAGGAGAAGCACTCAGGTACACCCAGAATGTGATCCAGTTCGAGTCCAAGGAGGATGCTGGGACCAACAATACCTGTATCTAAATGGTTTCTTTCATATTGGGCTTGAGTACATGATGCCATCATGATATGGAGATTCTCAACATAGTGTGCAGAGGTGCCTTGTGAAAGATTGGCAATGTCAATGTCATCATGTGTGCAACCTGCAATGGTGTAATTGTTCGGCTTCAGTAGGACAGGGTAGTATTGAGAGGCATGTGGCTTGCATTGTCCTTTCAAACCACAGTACATATAGCAACCATTCTTTCCTGTGTGCCCGACAAGGCTGCTCATGCAGAGAAGTCCAGGGCCATTGGCAAGTGCAAGTGCAAGAAACAGATGGGATATGAAGACAACATCACTCCAGGTGTCCCAAATATGCAGACCTGCTCTCTGAATTGAGGCAAGATGATGAAAGCCTGGATACAAGAATGATTGGATGTATTTGGGCTTATTGGGACCAGGAATGACGCCGCCAGGAAGTACATGCTTTTTCTTGTAATGGTGCTCTGGAGAATGGTCAACAATGATCCAAATATAAATCCAGCAATCAGGCATCTTGCTTTCATAGAGTTATGTGCCATTGATGGAGATCAACAGAACCATATCTCCTTGTTTGATTCTCCCCACTCTGACTGCATCAAGATAAGCACTCCCAGTGAGAATATCATCATATGCATCAATGAAGCCATTGTTCCAATGGATTTCATCAAATATTTGTTGCATCCATTTGTTCCTGTATCTCATGCTTTTCATGCTCCCTTGTTCATGCCAGAGTGCCTGTAGCTGTGGACCAATTGGAATGGTCTAGAAAACAGCACAGGGAACCTTTGTATGACCATGACTCCATTGAAGCTGTTTCTGGTCATAACATGGCTCCCCACATGTTGGACGGGCATCAAGGTCAGCCCACAGGCCAATGAAGGCTCCACAGGAATTAATACATCTGTGGTTGATTATGGACTTGATACTGGTGAGGTCTGCAATCATTTTCTTGATGCAGTGAAGGCTTGGGACTTCTGAATCAGGGTAACATTTCTTGACAGCAGCTCATATGTTCAAGTATGCTGCTTCAGATGAATGCTAAAGGGCTAAAAACATCGAGATGGCAAGTTCGTCGCACAGATTGTCGATGTGACATGATGTTTGTGGTGGGTTTCATAGCTGCTCCAAATCCTCTCCAGTCAGCCCTACTTCATCATCAAGAGATGCTTGTTGGAGAGCACAGATGACCCCCATGTCATGCTGAAGGTGCAGAAGTTGAGCAGACTGCAGGAGCTGATCAAAGTCAAGTGCTTTCAGAGGGTTTTGCCATGGTGGAGTGGGAGGTTCTGGGGGAAATGGATGGTCTTCACCTCAAGGCAGCCCATCTGGGGGCAGGTGAGGTTCATCTGGGGGATGGTAACATCCATTATTTGGGGCTGTATTGCTATGAGGTTCATCTGGGGGCAGGCAAGGTTCATTGTCTGGGGGTAGGTGAGGTTCATCATCTGGGGGCATACAGGGCACATCTGGAGGCACCTTGAGATCAGAGTCATCAGGTGGAAAATCTTCGAAATCCACCTGTGAAATAAGATCACTATCTAGCTCTAGCATTAGACAATCAAATTGAAATATACCTCTGCATCATCATGCATACATTTTTGAGGTGGCTCGGGGTGATCCAAATTATCAAAGTCATTATTTAGTTGGTTTGATGAAGATGGGCCAGCTGGCAGAGCTACTGATGCTCAAAATCTGTCTGAAAGATGTGCTGCACATATGGCAGTTTTCTCATCCTCAGTGGGAGCCTTTTGCAGGTGCTGGTACCATGCAGATTGAGAGTGTAGCTGTCTCCACAATCCATGGCAATAGAGCTGACAGACACACCAGTACTCAGTGCTGTCTTCTTCCCTTGGTGGCATAGGTATTATTTGGATGCAAAGACTTCAACAGATTGGATCAATGTGTACAATTGTGACTGATAGCAAACAGTTTTTTCAACCAGCAACATATTCTTATTACAATGGTATGCAGCAACAACAAACAGCTATTAGTACAGGGTGTGTAATTTATAATATGACAAAGATGCAAATGCAAGAGTGGAAGTGAAAACTGCAATGAAACACATGCAAAAGCCTTAGTAGCAAAACAAACACAAGAGCTGCAAAGAGCGTTCTAAGTGTCTGTTTTGTTGGGGGCAACAGCAGCAGGAATGGCTTTGACCATCTCAAACAGGTTCATTCTTTCATCTGTCCTGATATCCCAAGAGTGTGGCAAGGGCGAACAGGTGGCCATGGTTTGTTGTCATCACCAAACTTGTGTTTGGGAATGACACGCACAGGAGCAGCTGGAGGCTCCCTGATTCTGACCAATCATACAGGATTCGCATGGAATGAGGTACTACTGTAGATATGTTTCATGTCAATTTGAGATTTAAACAAAAATAAAATTGTTCCTACTCAGAACTGGTAGATGTGATTTTGAGAGCTGTGAGACCCTCTGTGATCATGTTTGCATCAATAACAGAGCTATTGTCAATAAGTTAGTAGGTGGATGGAATGATAACATTCAAAATACTTACATCTTGACTTTCTTGTTCTTGCGGGCCCTCTTCCATCCATTGCTCAAAAACAACAACTCAGCCTCACTGTCAGTGGGTTCTTCAACATGCATGAATTTGACAGCATCTTTAAGATGAATAATGAGTTTCTATAGCAGAATTGTTAGCATACAACCAATTGGATATGTGTCTACTTACCACAGGGCCTGGTTTTTTAGGCGTGAATTTTATTTCATATGCCAGCCATCCTACTAGGAGATTGTTGACTTCCATAACAATAACATTGTCGCAGAAATCTACACTGTCGGTGCAGTTAACAATATCAGCCTGAGATGAAGACATCGTAGTTGAAAGTAAGGACATACGCGTACTGTTAAGAACCATGTTGCTCAAGGGGGAGAGAGACTGGCTCAGAGGGGCTTGGCCTCAGCTCATACACTGTGCCCCTTACCTGAGTATGTGCCCTTCATTTCATATGAAGTCCGATGATGGTCCAACGAAGTCTGGAGGACTTCCAGAGGCTGGCTACTCTGCTGGAGAGCACTAGAGGACTTCCGGAGGAGCGTGGGAAACGTCCGGAGGAGCGTGGGAGAGTTTCAGAGGAATGCAGGAAGTGCTCAGGAGAGTTTCCACTGTAAGGTAATACTTCTACAGGAAACAGGGTGGAAGGATAGGAGGTCCAAAGGTCTGGAGGACAGGAGGACAGGAGGACAGGAGGGCAGGATGATGGAGGACAGAAGGACAGGATGATGGAGGACAGAAGGACAGGATATCCGGAGGTATGAAGGACAGGATGTCCAAAGGTACAGAGGGCAGGAGGATAGGATGTCCAAGGGTTAGGAGAATGGAATGTCCAAAGGTACGGAGGGCAGAATGTCCAAAGGTACGGAGGGCAGAATGTCCAAAGGTACGGAGGGCAGAATGTCCAAAGGTACGGAGGGCAGAATGTCCAAAGGTACGGAGGGCAGAATGTCCAAAGGTACGGAGGGCAGAATGTCCAAAGGTACGGAGGGCAGAATGTCCAAAGGTACGGAGGGCAGAATGTCCAAAGGTACGGAGGGCAGAATGTCCAAAGGTACGGAGGGCAGAATGTCCAAAGGACAGGATGCCTGGAGGTATGAGGGACAGGAGGTCCAGAGGTCCAGAAGGAATAGGGGCTACATTGGACTTCATCCAATGTAGAAACAAACAGAGGTAGACTACTCTAAGGTAGAGTTGGAGAGACAGGGATTGGACCTAAGTCTGGAAAGAGGGTAAGTGCCGGAAGGTGGAGCTCCGGCCTAGGGAATCAATCCCTAGGCCTGATGGTAGGACAGACTTAGGTGGACCAAAGTCTGAGAGAGGATTGGGCAAGTCTAAGTTGATATTCAAACTAAGGAACTACAGGAGTATCTACAGGGGTTATATACTGAACAATATCTGAGGGGATCAGTAAGCAAAGGAGCAAGGCTATGTACGAGCATGTGGAAACACATTAGTAAGTAAGTCGGAACATAAGTAAATGAACTCGGAGATGAGGACTCATACAAGGATCAGTAAGCAAGACAGAACAAGAGGTAACTGAAAGCCGGAAGGCAGAGAATGCCTAAATGGGGATAGGTGCAGGATATCGGACAGAGGGTGGAAATAGGTCCGGAGTTAATATCCAGAGATCTGGGGATCCAGAAGACAAGGTGGATACAGGATCAGAATACGAGAAGGTGGATATAGTCCAGAACCTGAGACGAGGTGAAGCCCAGATGTCTTGCTGGATGGAGTGCGCATAGGGTGGACAGGATAGGGTTGTATGGATCAGGCTAGCAGTGGAGATCCGATGGTCCAGAGCTCAGGGGTAAATCCGGAGCATAGTTGATCCTGCTGAGGTGTGGAGCACACAGTGGAAGGGGATCTGGGAATGAGTTGGATATAAAGTGTGGTCCGGATGTAGGCTCGGAAGGCGTGGGAATATGATGGAACATGGGTCTGGATCATGGGATATGACATGTACACAGTTATCAAGTTAAAAGCAACATGAACAGGTGATTCAAATTTCATTGTGTTCACATCATCTTGATTGATTGATTTGATTGATCCAAATGTGCAAGACATTGACAAAATTGTGTTTGCTTTGTTTGATCAACACAATGTGCGTCATCTTTCTTGATAATATGTTAAATTCACGATTTGTGTAGCTTTGACAATATTTATAAATATATCCATCATTTTATGTCGATATGGTGAGGGCCAGTTCTCACTGGGTGTCATCTCTTGAAGGTCCTGTGGTGGAGCTGGTGGTGAGAAAACAGACTAGTGCAAGGTGTCAACCGCCCTCAATACCAGTGTAAGGTGTTAACCACCCTCAAACCACTTCCGGATCTTTAGCCTTGGTCACTGCATTGCTATGCTGTAGATTCCTATAGCTAAAACAGTCACTGACAAGCACTTCACTGAAGTGATATGCCCAACCCCCTCCAGGATTCAGATGATCTTGCCACAAGGCCAATTCTTTTCTGCCCCAGTGCCACAGCAGCATGCCCATCAAAACAAACCACACTACTTAAACTGTCTCCTGTGTTTTGACTGTAGCATCAAGGCTCCCATTAATCACCCGGCTCGATTCATGAGTGTATATCGAAGAATGCCCACATAGACAAAAGAATTCTGACACATCATAATTGCTCTCGCACCAGTAATCTGACTATTTGAAGTAAATATTGGTATATTTGAAGTAAAAGCAATACTCCTCCACTGTTACAAACCATCTGCCGGAGTGTTGTCCATCCTGACAATTTTATTGTACATCCACATAAGTGCTAGAGGTTCCAACATGGTAAATAGGCGAAAAGTAAGTAGAAACTCCTGGCAGTGTCTGGATCATTGCAATCTAAGGTCTTTCACATACCTCCACACAAATTCCATCAATATTGTTCCAATGCAGATAACATATATAACTAGCCAGAGCGCAGCAAAGATGCAGCAGACAGTATTTTGGAAGTTAAAGCCTGCTATCAACATCACTGCAGATGAAAAAGTACATAAGGAACCAGAAGGAGCACTGAACTACTGGAGCTCACTGAATATGAAACAATTCAGGGACAGGCCAACAAATAATATGGGCATGATAATCAATAGCAGGTAGGAAAAGAGGAAGTAGCCACCCAACCTGAGTTGCTGATAAGATGTCAGCTGATATCATAGGTAAAGCAAACATACTCTTACTTCTTGGGTCCACCATTGATCAGTGTGTAGCCAGCGAATCATGATCAAACCAGATGTCATCACTGCAATCATGGCAAGCATGAGCGACATAAAGAGCAGGAAATAGGGTGCAGGTGAGGAATAGTTGAAGTATGGCACAGGAGAACCTGTAGACACGAAAACACAACTGCGAGAAGCAGGCTCACCTTGTGAAATTTCGACTATGTCAGCAGCACTTGAACTCGCAGAGTTGAATAACTTACTACAGAGATAGTGTTGGACAAGATAGAGCATAGCCTTTTCCTCACGTCCTCAAATCCTTGTTTGGATTGCAGTGACTCCCAGTGGTCTTCCAGATCAGGGCGTCCGAGTGCCAAAAAGCAAAGTACTCTCGTTAAAGAGGATGTGTCACAAAGGGATGCGGGGATTGTTTGTTCTTGGTGGAACGTAGAAACCTAGCGTCCCAATTGAGTTCTATGTCTTTGTTATCAAAACGCACCTCTGGAAAATACTGTAGGGCCATGGCAAGCACCATGTCAGGAGAGTAGAAGTGGATTGATTCCACGTCTCAACATGGTGTCAACTTTTTGTACATAGTACCCAAATGTTCGCATCCACTCCGGAGTCCGTGCTCTGCGGGAGTAGATGGTTATCTGGTGTCTGCTATCCAAGTAATATTTTCCAATATTTCCAGGACTTTTTGAACACTAACTGGTACCATCCAGTTTTTCCCCACAGTTCCACACCTCAAGGCCTCAAGGGTAAGAGTCTGTTCAGATAGGTTCAAATTTGCGCAACTAGACAAAATTTCAAATCTCCAGTTGCTTTGTCATCATCAGCCCTTGAATATCCGATATCAGTGTGACATCAGATATGTATCGATAACACACACCCTTCAGCCTTTGTGCACCCACAATGTCATCCAACAAGCACAACCCTGACGTTGACCCGCCAGAATACGACAACACTACTGTTGTTGATGAAAATAATGAGTCTCAATGGCAGCACTGTGGTCAACACCGATGAGCTGGATATACTCCAGCTGGAGTGGATACAGAAAATGTACTTTGGTGCTATTTGTCTGGTCAACATCATGCTCAATGCTGCTACTGAGACCCTTAATTCTTACTCTGATACTCACTTTAACAAGCAACCTTACCATACTTCTGCTTTGACAGGGATGGGATGGGTCAATGAATTACTCAACGGACATCCTGATTGTATATGATGTGAACTTGGAGTGCAGCAGCATGTATTCTATGTTCTCCTGAATTTACTTTGTGATTCTGGATGCAAAAATTCCAGATATGTCCAGCTGGAGGAGCAGCTCGCCATATTCCTGTACACAAGTGTCACAGGTCTCTCTGTGTGCCATGTTGGTGAGCGCTTTCAACGTTCCAATGATACCATATCAAAGTGTGTCATTCCTTCATTTTATTGATAGATATGCTGATTTTTATCAAGATATTATAAACAGATTCTCAATGCATTCACCTCTCCCCCTATATATCCCTTATATGTCCACTTGCCTGACACAGACAATCCCACACCTCTGGAAATTCTCCAGAAGCCGAAAATTTACCCCTATTTTGCTGACACCATTGGTGCTATTGATGGCACTCATATTGCATGCCATCCCCCTGCCAAAGATCGTGATGCCACTCGCAATCATAAGGGCAGTCTGACCCAAAACTGCCTGGCTGCTTGTAGCTTCAACATGTCATTTATGTACATGTTGAGCAGCTGGGAGGGATCCACAGCAGATGCATGTTTATATCATGACGCTCACATTAAGGATTTTAATATCCCTGCGGGTAAGTACTATCTTGTGGATGCTGGTTTTGGAGTGTGTGATGAGCTACTCATCCCCTATCAGGGAGTACGCTATCATCTCACTGAATGGGGCCATGGCCGTCTCACATATGTACTCCCCCTTCTATCATACATCTGTACTGATATTTATTTAGACCATGTGATTACAAAGAGTTATTTAATTTATGCCATGCCATGCTCTGAAACATTGTTGAGCACATCTTCAGTATTCTGAAGAATCACTTCCAGATTCTCCTCCTCCCCCCTCACTACGATACATCCGTGCAAGCTCGCATCCCCCCAGCATTGTGTCTAGTGCACAATGTCATCCATGTTCATGACCCCAACAACATGCTGGACTACCATCAGATTGATCTCGACTTGGATGGCCAGCAGCCACATGATACTGGCACACTCACTCAAGGCCCTCCCACTGATGAGGTGCACACTTGCTCACATCAATGCTGCAAAGACATTGCCCTCCAAATGTGGGAGGACTACACTACTGTAAGATGGGAGAGGGGGGAGTCATATGTGGAGGAGTATCCAACTGACTTGTACTAGTGTATATTTGTAGTGCTCACAATCAAATGTATTTGTACCTAGTACAAAAATTGTTCTAACTATTGATTAAGTCCTGAAAAAACATTTGGCATATACTATCCTTAGCGTTAACAATAGCTAAGTAAGAGTCTGTGATGGAGTCATCCTGCCTGAACTGCTTCATGACCGCAATTACTTGGGCATCCTCTAGACCCTCTGTTAGTAAATGAGAGATAGCCTTCTCCCTGTGCATAGGGATAGGATTTACAGAGTGCGTGATCGTGTGTTCAGTGCGATCTTTCAATGCATTTGCCACAACACTGAATGATGAGTTAAGGTCACACATCTGTGAACCCATCTGTTGAAATGCTTGAGGGGTACTGATACGTGTGGACTTCACAGAGTTGCTGGACACTGTGGGTGACTTGGTAGAGCCCGAAGGGCGGGCAAGGGCTCTTGCACTGTCATCACCCTCAGCTCTGCATTTACCCGTGGCCTTTGATCCAGGTTGGCTCATACCTGTACCCAGTGTGGAGGGGGAGAAAGTTGCTTGCTGAGTGGCATTGAAGGGAGGGGGCAGTGGTGTGAGGATACTCAATGCTGCTTCACCAGTGCCATTCTCGAGGTCTGTGAGCATCTGCTCCTGCTCCTGTGCATCAACCTGATTGAAGTTCAAGGTTGTGGGAGCAGCACTGGTAGAAGGAGTCAATGAGCTGGTAGTAAGTTGCATGAGAGGGTGGAAGGCACTGCTACCAACCACCTTTGAAGGCAGGAGCTTATGCAAGGAGTTATAGGGTGCCCAGCCTTTATTTTTGAAATTTTGGCAGCTGGGATACTCTAAATTAAACAGTGTTAGTGGCAGAGGGTGAAAAAAAATACTGGTACTTACTTTAATAACATCCACCCAAAGTCCCTCTGATTTGGCTGTGATATCAGCACCATGCTCTGCACTCCATGCCACACCCAAATAATGTGCAACTCTATTAACAACATTATATGTGGCGCGAAGCTGGAAGTTTATTATCAGTACTAATATCTGGTATATGACAATAACATATGATGTACCTGGGACCACTTTGTTGCACAGGAATCAGCTGTCTTGGGAGCACTGGCAGTCATAGATTGAGCAATACCAATCACAGCCTGAGTCCAAAATGTCTTGTCAAAATTCAGTCTGTTGCCACCTTTAGCACAGTTGTGAGTGATGTAGGTGATGAGGTGTGCTTCATCTGCTGGCATCCAAATACACCTTGGCTCTGGTTCCTGACTCTGGGTACCTGAATTTGCAGAAGCTTTCTTCCTGGGTGCCATGAGATACACACGACCACCCTTAGAATGACGAGAACGAGAACGAGTAGTAGAGGATCGGGTTGCGGGCATATTTTACTGATATTGATTATCGATGGTCACATATGTCACACTAATACTGATGATGACAAAGCAACTGGAGATTTGAAATTTTGTCTAGCTGCGCAAATTTGAACCTATCCGAACAGACTCTAAGTATTGCTGTATGACTGATTTCGCACGCGCATAATTCTATAGCTAGTATATTTATATTGATTATGTAGAACATACAATACGTGAGAGCGCCCTAGTAATGAACGTTAATGTAGTGCAAACCATGTCCTGTGTATCAATATCCAGGAGGAAACGTGAGGTCGCATACATCAACCGAAGCATCAGATACAACTGCACGCGCCCACCAAAAAGCGAAAGCTCTAGACAAGAGACGGGGTGGCAACTGCAGACGAATCAGTAATAGACACATGTTCTATGATCCAGGATCTCAAGCGAGAGATGTGAATATCATTGGCAGCCAGTACAGGCCACGTTACAAGGATGAATACGGCGGCCCAAACCGGAGATGTAATCGAGACTGCGACAACGCCAGATGTGCGGAAGATCAAGGTGGACAATGCTACAGCAAAGAACACCATTCTGTCAAAGAATGAGCTACTAACCTGTTGGATATAACTGGAAACGCACCCCCAAATCAAAAGAGCAAACGGTAGGCTGAGCATGAGGGCAAGGCTCTCAAGGCCGAGCATAGAATGCGACATTCCTACCATGAAAGAGGCCTGTACACGTAAAAAAATACAGATCAAACAATCGAAAAGAAACTTACCACGGCTTCGGCAGAGCCTCGCCGGCTGTCATTAACTTGTCCAGCCAAGATCAGTGAGACCAGTAACGAGCCCATAGCGCAGAGGGTAGACAGATATGTTAGAATGATCGCAGACGTTTGAGTCTGGACAAATGAGACCCCAAGAAAGCTGATATCAACAGCAAGCATCACAGTAGACTGCGATAGTCATTCATTGCGCAAACAATATAAAGCAAACATAACTCACGAATATTGTATACCCATTCCATTCAGTAGTGAGCCTATCAATAAAATTCTTCCACCGTGGCTGAACGATGGTATCGTCGACCCATATCCTGTGAAGAGCCTTGCTCTGGGCATCAGGGGATCCAAACAGCATTACATTCATGAGACGAAGAAAAATCCTTCTCGAGCGGGTGATGGATTCTCGGTATAATGATTGGTCTACGTTCAGTCGAGCACCTGGTTGCCCACAAAAATTCACAAACTTGGCGTTGCCTAGCAAATAAATCAGGAAGGAGGATTCGTAGACCACTGGGATGAGCTTACAGAAAAGTCTCATCAATCGAGCTGAAATAAGCCAGCGTATCAGAAGCAACAAGCTAACATTTCGCGATTAGATTTACCGACGATCCACACTGAATGCTCACGCGCCTTGTGAGTACTGTCATTGGTATCACTGTCTGAAAAGATAATCAACAACGACCTCCCACATCAGAAGATGACTCACTCGTGAGAAGATCCACAAGGCTGAGCATACTTGCAACCTCATCCGCAGCAAAAGGGGCCAGGCAGGTCTCAGAAGTGATATTTTCTATCACAAGTCAATCTTGTAGGGAACAAAACACTCACTAGTCTTACTCACCTGCGTGAGCATGCATGACAATTTCTTTGAGTTCCATGACAACATCTTTCGGAAGGGAGCGTTTGTTTGGAAATAGTTCGACGTGTCTCCTGTCGGATCCGTGATATGTAAATCGCAGGAGGTACAAGGGAGCTGCAGCAAAGTGTGAGCACATTTATTCCGACCATGTAAGGGGAGATGCCTACTTCTAAAAGTCATACGGACCAATACTGTGATTCTAGTGCATATCCTGACAGTAACACAATCACAAATGCTTAAATGGAAAGTAATTTACGAAAGAACTCACTGACATGACTTTTGCGCTCTACACCGCGAATGTTACACATGAGCACATCGGATTTGTGGTCTTGAAACCAGAAAATGACACGCTTCTCGTGATCAACAAAATAGTAGCCACACTCTTCGCTATCCTTCTCTATGAGCTCCAACACTAGCTCGATGGATGGGTGCAAGAAGATGTTTGCGTTGCGCGCTTCTTCGTATGCTTTCTCAACAGCTTTGCCTATCCTTACAGCCGTTTCAGGGTTTCGAACATTAGCGTCAGTGAAAACTCTCTGGTGGGGCGATGAGTCAAGCCATTAGAAGCGGGTGGTAGACACACTTTATATAGGTGGTAGAAGAACAAAGCCCCTTCAGGGTGCGTGAGCGGCTCCCACCCTGCTACCACAGCAAGCTCCCTACGAACCCATTTGAATCTTGTCGTTAGCTCTCACATTAACATGCTTACTCGGAACAGTCCAAAGGACCTTTCTTAATCTCAAATGACTCATCCTTGTCTTGACTGTGAGTATGAATTAGATCAGCAGTTTACTCGACAACCATGATTTGCATACACATGTACATTCCTCTCGTATCGGCTGACCTGTGGTTCAGGCACAATGGGAGTAAGAATGATATCAAAGGATTGTCCAGACGCCGTGCCATCCGGTCCTTGGTTGAGCTCGGGAGTTGGAAATTGAATGTTTGTTACAGCTGCTTCAGGTAACCGCGGCACGGCGAGGGTCACAGAAGCCGTCAACCCATCTTGGTTGGTCACTAGCTGAGAGCTCAATGCTAGACTCTGTTCCCGAAGAGATCTCTCCTTTCCATTAAGGACGAATTGACAGTGTCGAATCATCCGCAGGAGAACAGAGAGGAGAGTTCTGTACGACTTGAATGCGGTTGTCTTGACAGTGAGCCTCAGCCAGGAGATTAACGTGCGGATGTATGAGTATCCTCCCTGCATGACAATCAAGGATCCGAACACAGAAACTAGAATTTTGTCTGCTACTAGGTTAGCCTGTAGGAAGTGAGAATATGACATGAACCAATTCCAGGCACTGCATGTCAACGACACCGTTTTGATTTCCTTTTTTATTCGAATCCAGCCGAGCAAGCTTCGAAGCTTCAACGGTACGTCCAGGAACTTCAACTTGGGAAGTGCGGGATGTTGGATACCGGGAAATAATGAGGTGGTACCGATCATGTGCATAGCAAAGTCCACCATGTTAACGAGTGCATGTTGCAACATTAATCCAGGCTGCAGCTGTGACTGGCAATTCTATTCTACATAACATCCGTAATGTATATCCAAGCTCTACTATACCGCAGACGTCTGCGCGATAGCCTCCGCCTCATTTGGGCTCTTTGCATCCACCACTCCTCCACCCATAATCGCTTTTATGCCAAGAAGTGGGCCTCCGTCGAGCTGTCAGTCATGTTCACGTCAGCCAGTCGAACATCACAAACGAAATCAACGCACAAGGCCTTCAAGGTGATCCGCTCTGGCCTCGTCCGTCACTGTCACTTCTACCGGAGGAACCTCGTCGTCTGCGACTTCCACGGGCATTCCACCCTAAGCCATCCATGAGCAACACCTCATAATGAATGCCCGCTACACTCACCTGAATCCGCACCTCTACCCTCACCCAAGCCGTATTAACCATGGGTCCTTTTCGCTTCCATGTTCCCCCACCCAATCTCACAATTGCGCTCACCACTTGCGCAATACACAACCCATGACTCACAAGTGCGATATGTTCGTCCCTCCCAGACCTCGTAACATTCACCACATGAGGAAGCACAACCTCTTTCACTGCCCTCTCAGCCCTCCTGGTCAGATCCTCCACCGACTCTCCACCAGGAAACGCCACGTGTTTCTCGCTTTCATATAAAATCGGGTACTTGTCCTCTGCAAAGTGGGCTTCGAGCGTCTTGCCTGGCTCCCGTATGCACGTTTGATGCCCTTCTGCGGCTCCAAAACTTTGTTCTCTGATCTGGGTGATGGTGAAATCATGAGGAGGCTTGGGCGTGGGCTGCGCGTCTAGTACCGCTTGGGCTGTGTCCCGTGCGCGGGGTAAAGGAGACGCGTAGATCTTGGTGAATTGTGTATTTGCGAAGTATGCGCCTACGGCGCGTGCTTGCTGTTCTCGGGTTTAGCTTGGGTTGATGGAGAGGCGGTAGAAAGGCTTACCTGCGTCCCTGATTAGCTAAGATCAGTCGTGATGCTCGTTAGTTAAAGGCGCATTCGAATTACCACTCACCTCTTTCTGTGAGAGGACATTCCGTGCAGCCCGACCACAGAGCTAGCTGCAATGATCTCGCGATCAGTGAGTATCGCCGGACCACTAGTTCAGCCTTACCACGTTGTGCGTGGACTCTCCATGTCTAATCTGCGCGTACACCATCGGCGATGTTAGAAGAGTCTCCCGGATATTGAATGGACGTACCAATGTCACTGTGAGCATCTTGTCTGATCAGAGGATGCTGATGGTATCTGACACTGATCAATCCAATCAATAGCCTTTACATACCGAAGTGCAACCGAAATGAGGCTATAGCGTGTCGGAGCATAAATTTGATACCGACATGCAGATTTCATTCTCCCTCGGTTATATTTAGCACGACTGTGGTACGAGGACAGCCACATTCCATGGAGCTTTAGAAAGGAAAAATGTCTTTAGCGTATAATTTACCAGAGAATGAGGGTCCCTTTCAACGACAAGTCCCCTTTGACGCAACTTTGACGCGTTAACCGAATAGATCATAGCCACGGAAAGACAACTGGTCGAACTCAGGGTTCTCGTGCCCACAAATCCTTCCACCAGACGCTCGAATCGTGTTGTCGGTTCTGTAAGACTGAATAAAAAGCTGAGGCCACAAGCAAAACACTGAGGGCTCATGGCAAAATGATAATCATGTGACACCGCGGGAACCAGACGTATCCTGGAACATGATCATGACATTCATTCATCCACTCACAGGGGCTAGAAACACGGAGCTAAAAATTGCCGAGGCAGAAAGTAGCTCCACAAGACTGACATGCTGCATCTTTATGGAGCCAGCTCGGTTCTCACCCATTGCCAACTGGAAGATCAGGCACCAGTGGTAAGCTAACTCGAAGTACGCCACAAGAGTGGTGATCGGTAACTGGCGACACCGAACGGCCAAGAAAGTGACGATTTTCGGGAAGCTGGAGACCGTAGTTTGACCGCGCCGCGCGTTGTGGTTGCGAACCCTTGATGGTATCATTCATTGTAAGTAGACTGAGCGATTTGCGTTGAGGCAAGTACCGGTTGTCTGCACAAGCCGGCGTGCTATGAGGTGGGAACTCGTTCAGTTCAGTCCGATGCGAGCAAGAGAGGTCCATACGCCTGGGTACGTGGATGGTGTGTAAAATCTCTGCGTTGCTGGTCGTTCGTAGATGTACGCTTTTTCTGGTGGGGTCAAGACCGCAGAATTACCGTATCTGGAGGATCGAAGATGTATGTGACGTCGCACCTGGAACGGCATTAGCATCAGGTTACCCAGAGCGGTAGGCTTGGCAGCCTTTGCGCACATTACACCAAAGTAGAGTAGAGTCGGTCAACTGAACGCCAGTCAGAGAGGTGTGCCGCATGCTGTAGGTCAGTAATAAGGCATGCGCCATGCACATTGCAATGTCAGGGCAGCAGCTTAGCGGGAAAACTTACGTACATGGAGAGACAGCATATCATAGTTTGCGCCCGCTTTCTTTGTTGGGAAACGCTGCTAAATTTCTCTGCCTCATCATAACTCAGCTGACGCCAAATTCGTTCTTGTTGACGGTCGTTCGTAACCGACAAGCGCTCCGTGAACAGAACGCTACAGGTCAACAAACAAGTATCAACATAAGATATTCATCGACCAGCTACGCAAAACATCAGAAACCGTCAAACCAGTTGCCGTGAGTCTTTCTTATTCACTGCATCTAATATCATAACGACAGTAACGTTTGTAGCAGATATCCTTCACTCATAATGAACCGACCAGGTGTGTTCCCAGCTTGTTCTGGCGCCATTGTTGCACTTAGTTCCGCTCAGGTCAACCATTACAGCGACCACCAAGTCTTGCTCCCCCAGCCGGCTTGTCGTCACAATTTCGCTCTCCCTACCCAACGTCGCAATATCCTCTACCACAACGGAGTTATCCGACACCAACCCTCCAGCAACAAAATGCGCACCGAACGCCTGCCATTGCACCAGGTTCTAACGTCACAAGTTATGCAACGCAGGCGGGGCAGAGTGGGTCAGGAACTGCAGGTGCAGTGGCGCAGAGCAGAGATTTTGGCCCTGATGATTTCCCAGCGCTGGGAAGTCAGGCAGGTCAGCAGCCACTAAGCGGCCAGAACTCGTCCCAATCGCAGAATCCACCGCCTGGTGCTGATCTCAGCGCACCACCCGGTGTACCACCTCCAGGAGTAAGCCCGCATGTGTCGAATGGGACCCATCATCTACATCCGCATCAGCATAACGCGCTCCCACAGCTGCATAATCCACAACCGACACATAACCCACTTGTGCAGGCTCACCATCACCCACAGACTCCCGCACAGCAGGTGCTTATGTCCGCAGCTGACCGGTGGGGCCTACTTGGCCTGCTCGCAATGATTAAGAACGCAGGTGTTGATGCAGATGGAGGTCTGAGCAGCGTTGGTACGGATTTAGGTGCAATGGGACTCGACATGGGTTACGAGGGGTATGTCATGCATTACTAGACACTCGACCATTTTTACTTATGTTGCATAAAAGAAACCTGTATTCGACATTTGTTACGCCGTGGGCAGATCAATCTGCAGCCCATAGCGTTGAACCTGATTTTCATCTGCCTCCGTGTTACAGCGCTCAACCGCCCGCATTAGGACCAGCCAAGGCTGGAGCTTTCAGTGACGAGACGCTGTTTTTCATGTTCTATTCAAGTCCGAGGGATGCACTACAAGAAATCGCAGCGCAAGAATTGTAGGTCTCCATTCATGCCCCAGAAAACTTTCGAGACCCCCACAATGCTGTTTTGGCTGCCTCAACTTATGAATTCGGGCTGACTTGTGGCTTCACAGGTGGAATCGTAATTGGCGATACCACAAAGACCTACGGATTTGGATAACAAAAGAAAGCGGCAGTGCTCCATCATCAAAAATCCCAGGGGGCGAAGCAGGAACATATACATGGTGGAATCCCGATGACTGGTGCAAAGAGCGTAAAGAGATGAGCGTTCGCTATGCAGACCTCGAGGAGAAGACAGTCCCAGCATTCGTGATGGGACCGGGTCTGGTGTTGGCACAACCCAATCAAACCATACCTGGGCAACAGCAAGTGCAGGGTGCCGCAGGGCAGCAGGGAGGAGCACAATCTGTTGGGCAGGCTAGGATGCAGATGGCGGGTATCTAAGCTGGAGTGATGACCTTATCATCGCATTCGATTCGCATGTGCGCTTACGTATTTTAAGTTCTGCTTCATCGCCATTTTTTTTGTGAAGTGAACGATTGTATCTGTGATTCTGTGCACTCATGAATTCTCCCGACTCGCCTAATTTCCTTTTGAGCAAATGAACAACTGGTCACCTGACATAAAATGAGGTTATGTAATCAAATTCCGAATAGAAGTCAAGTTGCAAGTTGGCAACCTGAATGAAGAATTGTGGCCATTAAAGCTGGCTCAAGAATCGCGTACTGCGCTTCATGCTGTCCCGCTCACTATTTCGAGCGACCACTATCTTCTCCCATGGTTCATGCTCGAGGACGGCATTCTCAACGAGAAATCTTGGTCCGAACCATGATCTCCTCCAAATGCTGTCACAAAGTGAGTTCCTTCAAGTTCAAACTGGGGAGGGAATCCTCAACCCCCAACATAGATTTAGACCGTGAAAACTCCTGCCCAAACAGAAACGGTTACAAAGTTCGTGCGTTTGCACGAGCTATCGAGGTTATTGGCGCGCTGGAGGAACCCGTGCGGGACGTAGGTCAGGTGAAAAAGGTCAGAACCATTCACTACCGACTCTGCCAGTTTAGTGCTCAATGCTAGGGACTCTATGTAGCTGAAAGGGGTAGGCGTCGGAATCAGCAACAGGATAGACGCGTTCTTGTCGGGTAAAGATTATGTCCGTAGGTGTTGCGTATCTTTCAAGTGTCCGTGGGTTTCATGCATGTCTCCAGGACCCGGCAGCTGCTACCGAGCTTTCTAAAGGAACATCGAAATCCAAGGCAAGAAAAGGCTCTGATCCCGAGGAGACACGAAGGAAAATGATAGTTCGGTCATTAACGTCTGTTTCCGGCATTGGGTACTACACGTTCGCCTCGCGTCGACTTTGACGGTGTTCTGACAAGTTGAATGACTACAGCCCAACAGCTGCGAAAGCCCTCATTGACGCGGGCTGTATGTCCATTGGGGACCTGAAGAAACCGAAATTCTTTGACATGTTGAGTCCCCTGCAGCAAACCGGTGCGCGATACCACGAGCATCTCGGACGACCTGTCGAGAGAAGTCAAGCCGAACTACTCGCTGTACGTTATTGATTTATTGCTCGAAGAACGCTCCATCAGCTCATTAATGTATAGAAATTTATTTCGGAGAACATTTCTTGTAAATTTGATGTTGAGCTCGTGGGTAGCTAGTAAGCGGCCTGCATCTTTTTCCTCGTCTCTGCGTTGACTTCAATAGCCGACGGGGTGCTCAGTCGTTCCCAGGCGTCGATATTATGTTGACTCACCCATCTCATGTTCACGTGCCTACGCCCCCGTCAAAGAATGGCTCAGTTACACAGGGAATTAACAGTGCACCTTTTCGCACGCCATCTAGAAAGCTACGGGAAGCGCAGAACTCCCTTCTCTTCCGTGATGTAGTCTTCCCACTCGAAAGCCGTGGCCTCGTCGCCGAGACACTGTTGCTGGGATCCAAGAAGTGGCAGGGTGTGATCCGCCTACCTGAAAGGACTGTAGACGGAACTTGGGAAGAACGTTCTCAACGAATCGAGCGCATTCGCGAGCAGCAGGGCCTTTATATTCGATTGGACTTGAAGTAAGTTTTGATAAAAATCTTTTGGCGCACTGATTTAATCGCGTGCAGCCTCGCCCCTATGAAGTCGAAGGGTGCAGCACTACTCGCGTTGACTGGGGATAAGGAGTTCAGCCTCGACATCCGCACCAAAGCTACACAACTGGGCTTGCTCCTCAATGAATTCGGCCTGTGGAGATGGACCTCTGATCCATCACTCCCAGCGGATGCAGAGGAAGGGTACTGGACGTTTATAGAAGGCGAAAGCGAAGTCGCTATCCTACGCGAGCTCGGCGTGAATTATGTGAAACCGATAAAACGCAACTTTGCATATCTCGCCAATCCTGATTCGAACGCATCGACTGTTAAAAAGGGTAGGCCGCGGAAAAAATTTGTGTAGTTCTGTTTGCATCTATGTATCATACTACCACATAATCTCAAAGGATCGATATTTGCAATCATTGGCATGATCATAATGAATCGATGAGGTAGGACGCCAGTGATATAGTTTGTGCCTACAGTTATTTTCATATCGATAGACCAGAATATCGAAAATTCATTTAGTCGCTTTTGTTTATTGTTGGAGCGACGCCAAGCAGAGGCGCTCATGCTAGCTACTTTTACAGTAAGTCGTTAACTCTGCTTGTGCATGGGCTTGTGCGGGGCGGACCGGGCGGTGCAGATGTTGTGACGAAGTGAGCAGAGGTGACTGCGGATCAATCAAACACGCTTCGAAAGTCAACGGTGCCAGTACTTGGCAACATCTACCCATCTCACTTTCAAGATAACACAACCGCGCGCCTGATGACTGGATTCCAGAAACACCTTGATGGGGAGAAATCAACTCATTGTAGAGCGGTACACTGCGTTCGAAGTGTGCTGCCTGGCTTCCAGAACACCAGGAGGCAGAAACTGACACATTAGTTCCAAAAATAATTATGACATATCGAGCTCGAGTCACGCTGTTGATCTTATTCAATGTTCAGATCGGTGTAAGTGAGAGCTAGTAGATCAGTAGCGGTGTCTAAATCAGGGTGACTTGAGACACTTGGCAAGCTTCCACATAAATTCGATCGACATTAACCCAACGCTGACGACGTATGCGACGAGCCAGGCCGCGGTGAGAGTGCGGCAGACAGTGTCCTGAGAGTAGAAGCCTGCTATCAACATCGCTGCGGATGAAGCAGTGCATGAGGACCCAAAGAGAACACAGCGTCAGTAGAGCAACTCACCGAATATGAAGCAATTCAAGGACAAGCCGACAAAGAACATGGGCATGACCATTGATAAGAGGTAGGACAAGAGGGAATAACCGCCTGACTTGATTTGCTGATAATGAGTTAGTCGATGTAGTCAACAAAGCAAGAAACAATCCTTACTTCTTGAGTGCACTGCCGATCGGCGTGTAGCCAACGCATCATGCCCAAGCCAGAAGTCAACATTGCAATCATTGCCATCATGAGTGATATGAAGAGTAGAAGATAGGGGGTGGGTGAAGTGTAGTCAAAATACGGCGCGGGAGAGACAGTGGTCACGAAGACACCACTTGTCGCGAGAAGTAGACCCGCCTTCTGAAGTTTTAGACTGTGTAAGCGCCAGCAAGGAGTCGAATAACTCACTGCGGTGACAGTGTTGGTCAGGATGGAGCATAACCTTTCCCTCACGTTCTGGAATGCCTCCTCGGATTGCAGTGACCCCCAATGGGCTTCAAGATCGGGGCGTCCCAGTGCAAAAAGACAGAGTACCCTCGTTATAAAGGATGTGTTGTGAAGAGCTCCGGGGAGTATTCGGTCTTCAGCAAGTATACTTTGATCGGAGGTCCGAGTCTCATCAGTGCTGAAAGCCTAGGGTAGTCCTGTCATACAAGGAGCAAGTCTTCCTACATGTTGAAAACTCACCTCCGGTAGAGCCATGTCGAACGGCCAAAGAGAAGAGTACAGTTGGACTACGTATACTGCATCTTGACATGCTGGCTTATATACGATTGAGATATCTTGACCCGTGACCGTATTAGTGAATTTCGAAGCATGGAAGATACGACTGTCGGAGTTGAAAGTGAAAAGCTGTGTTCCCTGGCATCAACCAACCAACGCTGAAAAGTACTCCCTACTGAAGGACCGTTTAATTTTACTGTCGGAGTTGAATACGATTGAGAAATGGCGCGGTGATCACTGAAAACCAAGAGCGATGACCTTACAAATCATAGTGTTTCTGATTCATCCATGACGTCACTCAGCACTCAATGCTCATTAGTTCATCGAGAGCTCTCTTCACACCGAATTGAGCGCTGTCAGTGTCACCTGTCCAAGGCGGAAGAATGCGGAGACACCACAGCAAAGCGTGGCGATAACGTTCCATGACCGGCTCAGCTGACTTTTTTTACATCTCTCGCTCAGACTTGCATGTTAACGGAGATCAAGAAGTGGTATGGTGACTCCTGTACCTCCAACTCTTCCTCAGCTTAATGGGTCTAAGAACTCAGACAGAGTTGTTGTACACGGATACAACATAAATCAGTCCACAAAATTTGATAGCAGATAAACTTATGAACCAACGTGGCGACATTAAACAAGCAACTGTACCCTTCAAGTACCCCGTCGTCCATTCCAATCCCCTGAACCGCACGCTCAAGCCTGTAATCATGATTTACAGTAAGAGGTCATCTCCACCACTTGCAGAAGCAGAAGCTCTGCCGGAGGTATCCATACCACCAAAATTCCCGAATCCGCTGCCCATTCCCATCTGGGTTGTACCTGGCTTCTGACTCGACGCCCAGATACCAGCCTGGACTTTCTCTTTCTCGAGATCTTTAATAGATTTACCAGTGTTTCCAGATTTGAAAGCCGAGGTCGTCGATGATGTACCTAGGGACAACGACCACAAGTCCTCAAAGTTCGATGACGACTTCGGGGGTGCGGCGGGTGACGCTTTTTGGGGTGGAGCCGCGGGGGTGATTGGGACAGCTGACATGGATGTTCGGACGGATGTCGTGGGCGACAACGGTGTCGACGTAGACCACAAGTTGCCGGATGACCCACCGGCAGTAGTAGGGGAAAATTGCCTGTTTGTAGGAGAAAGCGCCCTCACAGAGGTGTTAGAAAACGCAGCGGGTTTGGGAACTTGTGACCCAAGTGATGGGCTCATCATGGGTGCCCGATTGGCAGGAGGGCTGGTGCTCCGTAGCATCTCCATCAACGTAGGTTTGGTAGAGAGGGGAGCGGGTGCCGCGGCAGGTGAAGACGGCGCGGGTGAAGACGGTGCAGCTTGGAAATCGGCAAAATCATCATCTGCATGACTCATCAGTTTTCTGAAAGAAACATTCTGATGCGCGCCTCACCGTCGAGATTGACATTGCCTACGGATGGGAGGGCTTTGTTTGTGTTGGACACGGGATTGACGCTGGCAGCGGCCACCGGCTCGTCATTGAAACTACCCAGGAGGTCGACCTCGGCTTCCCTCGGCTTTGGGAGTGCAGGTTGCGCCGGACGAACAGGAGAACTAACTGATTGTGTGCCCTGACGGGACCCAGTATGACTCCTACTGACAGAACCAGATCGTCTGACCACAGTCTCGTCGTCCCCAGCAGTGTACTCCTCGAAGTCCTTTCTACCATTGTTATCTCTGAAACCAGAGTTGCCTCCGTAATCTAACACAACGTGAGCAAACGATGATTCTTGAGATGAGACCTACGAGACTCTCACCATCTCTACCACTCATTCTGTCGCCATAATAGCCTCCACTTCCACTCGAGAAGCTATCGCCTGCCAAATCCGCCGAAACGGCTGCCACCTGAGGTGAAACTCATAGAATCGTTTCCAGTGCCAATGTATTTATGGCGATTGGTTTTCGCTTTCCGTCGCTCCGTGCGGATGTTATCTACATCAGACAATAGGTCTACCAGTTCACGGGCCCGGTTACGGACTATATGCGCAATGCGTCAGAGGTGTCCATTGACTCGCTGTCGACTGCATACCATTCTGGCCCTCATCTTTGCCTTTGTCATCTATGTAATGGAAATTTCTGAGCATCTTGAGCGTAGAGATGTGGGAGCGAGAGTCATCGACAACTCTCTCACTGCCGTGTTTGATTAAGTATTCGAGTAGTTGGAGTGCCTGTGGGCATAGGTTGGCGAGAGGCTGAATAAAGCACGGACAGCCTACCTTGTAGATCTGTCTCCATTGCCGGGCCTCTTTTTCCATGAACCGGGCATATATACATGGCATGATCTCATTGAAGTTTTGGCTAGGGTACGTCAATGGGGCATACAGCCGGAACCCTGGAGCAATAGGCTTACAAGTTGAACGTCCTATGCAAAATTTTAATTGACGTTTCCTATGATATAGAAAGTTACTAACCCTTGAGCAATTTCTTGCATTAATGTGGAACTGGCACCCCTGCATTGCCCGTGAGACTACTACGCCCTGCATTGAGCTTGGTCGCGATATGCTTACCAAGGTTCATCATTAGTCGCCTCCCTGACCTTGGACTCCATCTCGCTGATATTAAGCACAACATTTTTGGCCTACATCGACAACTATTAGCATGTGCAATTGCTCTGTTCTTCATCGCCACGTACTTGGTTGTACATGCTCTTGAGGTCATAAACAGTCAGGTTTGACAGGGTATTCGCCAGGGAGTCGAAGCGATCCATGGTAGGCAAAATCAAGGACACAGCTGGCAGCTCGATGGAAAGTGTGGTCACGGTCTGGATGTGCAGCTGCCACTGCCACTGCCTCAACTGAGGTATGTGATTATGTAATCGATTGTCGATGATCATGTGACCCCGACGCGTAAATGGAATCGACCCCTGCAGAAGGGGTTGAATCTTATGGCTCCTGATCTAGTGCTTAGGCTATTACTGATCCGGAACAGGGAACGGTGATTCTCTCAGCTCCGTTCAGCTAGTCAACGTTCGTTGGGTAGGCGCACGACTGTTGCCTTCGTGCTGGTTTAGGTCGGCCTTTGTTGCCCGGTTGCTTGGCGATAAGCGATAGTTGCGATTCACGTGCAACAGTTATAAGTTCTGTTCATACTGTCCCGGTGCCTCACGGGAACACAGGTTCAGCGCATTCGATCTAGGGCTTTATAGTTTGTGGAGCGACTGTACGTCTGACGATCCTCGTTTATGCGCCGCACTGACCCGCGTAGCAGAGGTATCTGGCGAGAGATGCATTCATTCTTCTCTCATATCCGAGGCCGAGGTGTTACTAACCATTCCGCTGCTCCACCTTCACAACCAGAAAACTGCTGCATTGTCCCGCCCACTCCTGCCCTCAGCTATGGTGTTGATTCAACCATCGAAACATCCTCAGCAGTGCGTTATGCCATAGACAAGAAGATTCTCGAAAATCCGAGTTCATATTTGGACATGGATGATTCAGAATTTCTGCCTCGCAGTTTGAGTCCCAGAACTCGGAGACACACCGCTAATGACAGCAGCTGGAGGCTTCGCAATATACTGCGGGCAAAACCTATGTCCGAGAGTATCTGCGAACTGGACAAACCTGAGTTAGACTCACCAACCCATGTAACAACTCTAAGCGAGTCCAAACCTATTGATCCCCTGGCTGCCCCTGGAGATTGGTCCACGTTTGGTCGCCGACGAGTGCGCAGCTCCCCAATGGTACCAGGATTTGCAGACCTTAGTCCCACCAAAGACACTACCAGACGGACGTCATATTCTTCTTCGCTGAAGAGAAGTGACAAAAATAAGAATGATAAAGGCCACAGCTCAGCCGAGAGTTCGCACTCTATCGTGAGCTCCCATAGTGTGTCACGATCCTCCACAGCGCCTCGCGATATATCAGCACAAACAAGCAATAGGGGACGCACCTTAATGATACCCGACAATGATCACACAAGCAGCTCATCCATCCATTCCAAATCATCGCCAACAGATTCTGTGTCCTCTAAATTGCATCCACGAACACCCAATAGTCCACGCTCCAATACGTCTCCGACAACTCGCCCAACTGCATACTTCACTACACCTATCCTTCGTGAACTGGGATTCGATTCTCCCGGAACATTTGGCCATCCGACACCGGAGAGCCGGTCCACGTTTACGTTTGCATATCCATCGCCTCCACCCCCTCTGCCCCCCTTGAACCACCCGGCTTTGTCATCCTGCCTCAAGGACAAAAACGTTAATGATATTACTCCCACAGTATCAGGTTTCGCAGACCGATCCGACTCATTTCCCAAACGCTCATCACGGATCCCGTCTGACATTGGTGATGATCTTTTTGCATCGCTATCAATGACATTTGGCCGATCTGTTAGACACTCTGCGAGCCTCCCTAAGGTGCAAGGTGACTTCCCTCCTTCCTCGGAACAGCAGCCTGCCGCACAACATCTCCGCGCCCGAACAATATCTGACAAAGCCCGACCTCGTCGACGCAACAGTGCCTCTTGGAGTGCACAGCAAGCTACAGAAGGTGTCAACTCATATTCAAACACTGCATGGCCCGCAGAGGTATCGCGCGAAATGCTGCGGCTTTCGTTGGGTGAAGGGCTCGTCAATTGGCCATCCCAAAGTGGTGTCCCGGGTCCGGGGTCCGAAACACGCGGTAGCAGCATGGCTCAATTTCCTAATCAGACGCCCATACAACGATCATTTTCTCCATCACCTTCACCACTTCGACCACGCTCCCCAGCTCCCCAAGGTAAGTCTAGTGCTTACGGCACTCAGGTATTGCTTTCTGCCACACATTCCGGATTCCGCATCTTGTCTCTCTTTCTATTCATCCATGTACTTTCTCATACGTTCACTTCAGTCACTCGTTTCATCTACTCACTCATTTGTTCTAGGCGGGGAACACGCATCTCAGTCCCCCTCCACCTCCATCTCATCCCATTACCTAACCTTCCTCCTCCTCCACCATCGCCACCCAGCAAGTTACGCGGACCCGCGCATGTCTGTGAATCCAAATGGTACTCGCGTCGCTACGGATGGCGCCGCCTCGCCAAACCATACTCCTTCGAGACTAGATGTGCCTGTGGGTCCAAGCAAAACACAAGGTCGTCCATCGTCTCAATTTCTCCTCCCTCCCTCCACCATGACTCCCACACCTGCACGTACTTCCCGCACAATCACCATTGATCCAAGTACCCCTACTCCCGCTTCACGCAACCATAGCGACAAGACAAAAGGCAAGCGCAAAGCCGAAGACATAGACACCACACCGCCCGAGCAGAAAAAGGACGCCCAGCGCGCAACGTTCGCCGTCCCAGAGAGCAATCGAAGTACGTACCTTCTATTACGTTGCCCCTTCCTGACGGTTCCGAACGCGAAATGATTGCTTAATCTCATTACGCAGGTCAAAAGCTCTCTGCTTCATCACACGCACCATCATCGTACCACCGCAAGCGCCCCCGTATATCATCGTCCTCTCCTTTCGGCACCCCCATCCATTCGCGACCTGTCTCCATTCAGAGCCAGAGTACGAATTTAGAGCAGGCGCCTGAGGTGGGCAAGTTCGGTTCCTGGTCGAGCCAAACGAGCGCCCGTATCCTCTCCAGTCCTAGCGTACCCTCTCGTGCCGCGTCCGCTGGTTCAGCCCGTCCTCAACAAACACCCAACAAGAACTCTCACACCAACTCAATTACCAGATCCGAATCACGCGAGACGTCAAAGCATGTCTCAGGCATCTATCCCTATCAGCGCGCTTGTGTCCCCGCATGCACCTTCAATCGCGCGTTCTGGCACGTTTCATATGCGAGATCCCAGACGTCCACCAAAGAAACTTGCAGAGACGCCTTGGACGCTGCATTTTCGTGCGGAGGATGAGCCTGGGTCACCTGTGCATGCGTGGTGCTTCTTTGTGGGATTCGCCTTGTTCCCTGTCTGGTGGGTTGCTGCTCTCTTTCTCCGCACGCCGCGCACGCGCGTTGTTGGTGATGAGAAGGGCGTTTCACTAGATGATCCACAGATCGAGCATGGTGGGTGATCATATAATGCAGGGTTTGGGTCGAACTGACGAGTGTGCTGATGCTAGATGCAAAGGCATGGCGGTTCCGGTGCCGCGTGATGTCCATAGTGTCGCTGTTTACATACATCCCCTTCATCATTTTGGTTGTCTTCTTTGTCCGACGATAGCACTGCACATGAACAAGTCACGCGCATATTTTGCATCCCAAGGACCCTGACTCTACCCGCAACGGCACGTTACGTTTCTCATTGCACTTATGACGTTCCGTTTTCTTGCTGCATACTTCACGTTCTATGCAATCTGCAACCTCCTACGAACCTTCCTCTCCATCACAGTTTTCTCGTCCTGTTTTGGTTCTGTGAACATTCATTGACTGTATCCATTCCTTTCACTTACTGTCTTCACTCGTTTCCTGTGTTATTCGTCGACTTATCCCCGACCGCATTCCTAAAGTAGGTACCGCTATTAGTGTTGTTCATCGGTGTTGTGTTTTTAGTAGTGTCGTGGCAATCCAAGCGGAGGAGTTTGAGGAAACACAAGTTCGTAGGACAGACCCATGTGCGCAGCATACGTATGCACTGTAGTATACAAAGAAGCGCGAAAGTCAGAAAGCTACATGACGAGATACTCGTCCTCCAATCAGTCTTCCAATCTCCTGCGTGCGTGCCTTTTCTTGTGCGAGAATGAGTTTTACTTCTGTGGGAGTATCAGTCCCCCTGCGGTCTGCTTTACGTGTTTGATGTAGAAGTATTCTACTGCCAACTTGGTCTGGTTTAACTCCTATGTAGTTGCGACTTACCTGATTTTACTACTAGTCAGATGACGTATGTAGTAGGCGTTGCCTTTTCTCCCATCCTCGTTGCTATCTCAATGACGTCGAGCGTAGGACTCGGATATGCATGGCTGAACGTAGGAGATTCATGATACTTGATAAACCAATATGTCAAGACATGCTTGAAACAATGGGGAGCACGTACTTGATAAAGATATATTCTGTCCATATCAATCCACATCCTGGTAAACAAATTACGTCCAATACAACCGAAGGGTCACCTTTTCCAACGAGTCGGGGGATTCCAGTGAGTCGGTGATGTCTATCGTAGATGGCTCTTTCACTACTCGTCCAAGACCCTGCCGGCGTTCAACAGCCAACGGGCTAAAGTCCATCGCGTGAAATCTGAACTTTGAGACATACCAGTCTTCCTCTATCATCAAAACTCGATTTCCGCCAACGTCAACACGGCATCGTTTGTATTCCCGGAACGCACGAGAATTCAAAGGGCGCCAGTCTGTCCACGGTATTTCCCTTAGCATTCCTTCAGAAAATCCTGGTGGGAGTGATGATGACGAAAGTCGTATAGTATGGGTCAATGGATAATATTAAAAGTTGATGTTTAGGGTCCGAGGTTCACATCATTTGTTGGGCTTGTATCAGTGGTTGCGTGCTATCATCCATGGGATAGGTGCACTCTGCGTAAAATATTCCCATCGCTGGGACAGCCATCATGAAGCACGCCAGCAGTTGTGGCGCCTGGGATATATCCTCGATGGAATAGAGTTCCAAATCGTGGCTGAAAACCAGCAATGGATCGTGTCCAAGGAAACAAAAATCTGTTGTTTCGCCACGTTCTTGGGGGCCAGTGAGGATGCTCTAAATCAAATGTCAGCTATCAAGACCATATTGTTTAATATTTCCGACCCAGGTTCACACCGGATATCGTCGAATGTTTACAGTCCCAAATTTGCAATACCCACGGTCTGAGGTCTCGGCTTGAGCAGAGGTTGCATGTCCAGCAGCCTGGGGGTGGATACCACCTCCATCCAAGGTTCCAATGTTAACATAGAACCTCTCATTACCGGCCGGAGATGACAGTAGGAATAGCATACGCGACGGCAATCAGATTTTGCGCTGGGTCCATGAACACGTCGAAGGTGTGTGCGTCAGCATCTGAACGCAACGACCTTGGGAGACAAATCATGCGTGATTGTCTTTTTCGGGACCTTTGGTAGTTGTCGGGAAGACCGTGACCGAGTCTTTATTGGGGTCCCAGAGGCAGAGATACCCGTTAGCAACCCGAGTTCAACGATGTACTGAAGCTCGGGGAGGACACGTACGTCTGGCGAAGTGCGCTACATGCCTGCAAGGTCGCAACATCAATTAGTAAATAGTTTGTTGCTCACTGATGTACAACAAAGGATATCTCGCGGTAGGGCAAGATGTACTGTAGCTCTTAGACAAGAGACTGAAATTCTGTTTTGGGCTTCATTTCCTCAACCCACTATGATAATGACATCGAGTTGGTCGAACAGATGCCAATTGGAAAGTTGCACGAATACTTGAAGCTAAAGCTTATTGCTGTTTGAATATGATGATGTCAGTTGGGCGTGTGAAAATTTCAAGTCTCAAGTCCCTCATGAGTTGCAGACGCAGAAGTGATTATTGGATCTGGGGATGACCAGGACCGCTATAGTTTCCATCTTTCTCTAGATCTTCAACGTTGGCTATTATGACCATGTGACGTCATGCTACGTTACTGCGCGTTTTCGCTGTTGCTTCTGCATGAGAGTTTCTGTCTCTTGCTGTTGACATGACATCTTTTCTTTCTCGCGGCTGACCGAAGGGGAGTCCTTGTATAGTTCAAATGAATCGTGACTCAAGAGTGTAATCCTGCAACAGTCGTTACAAGCAACACACTTTACCACGAAAGCGGGGCCTATATCACTAGTGTCCTTAAAATATAACAGGGGTTCAACAAAATACAAGGTCGCGGGGAAGATTCGTGTGTGGTGTAGTATATGGGTACTATGTGAAGTTCTTAGCATGTTCAGGGGGGAAAGCTACATGATGCGACACTCTTTGCCTCCCTGTCTGACTTTCTGCGCGCGTCCTGCCTCTTCTTGCGCGAGGATGAGCTTCTCTTCTTCTGTGAGAAGACCCCTTTTGGCACGCTCTGTCATGGCTTTCCGTCTGCTCGCACGCTCCTCCTTTGCACGTCTGTAGGGAAGGATATATAGATGTTGATACAGCAAGACATTAGATGGGTTGATGCATAGTGTGATGAGTGAGATTAAGCAGATACGAAGATCGATGGAGGGACGAAGGACATTGGATCGAGGAAATTAAACGAGGTTGATTTGGTGCAGTTCACAGGTTTGGGAGCGATTATTGGTGAAGGAGGTTTGGTTGCAGATAAAGGTGATACAGATATAGATGCGGGAGACGTGGGTAGAACAGGCGCAGGAGAAACGCTGGTGCGTTATGAGTTGATACTGAGACGCGGAAAGCGGACGTGTACTCACCGATCAGACTTGGAGAATACATCTGGGACAGAGACAGAGACTGGGATGGAGAACTTCGAAAGGGATGGTGCTGATTTCGGTTTGGATGAAGGAGCCGGTCTGGATAAGGCCGTAGGCGCAGATTTGGCTGAGGATGAGCTGGCAGTGGCTGAAACAGGACTCGGTCTGATAGATGGCTTTGAGCTGGAATTGGTGTTCGGCCGGTGTGAAGTAAGCGACGGACAACTATGATCATTTGGAAAACGGTGCTGGGGACAGAATTCCTTGTGGCATTTCTGTGTGGTCTTTATTAGTATCATTACATACACCAAATTAGCAGTCGTTCGACTCACATCACACCCGATGGGCGCAAATAACACCTTACCGCACTTTCCCCTAGCGCATATCTTGCTCCCACCCTTTCCCTGCTGTCTACCACTAGCATTCATCACCTCACAGAAACGGCTGATGTGTCTCTCCATCCGCACGTTCGGGTCCTCCCCGGGAGGAATCGCGACGGGAACGCTGCACAGAGGGCAGTTTGGTGCCACACGATCCAGGTGAGCATGTGCGGTAGTGCAGTGTGGATGGAAGTGCTCTGAGCAGAAGGCAGGAGTCCCTGGGCAGTGTGGACATTTGAATGGAAGGAAATCGAGGAGGGAGCAGTGAGGGTATGAGCAGGGCGTTCCGAGGCCGAGAAGTTGGGCTTCGTGTTCGTTGTAGGACATGGTGTGTTTGGTGGTAGTGGCGGTCGAGTTCAGAGCTTTTAAAGGCCAGACGCGCGTCCACCGACACGCAAGCACCCTCACAGGGCAACTTCAAGAACCTTCTCTGAGCGCTTATGTCATCCACGGCCTACTAATCGACTTACTAACACCAACTTTCTTTGTCAGAGTTTGGATCATCCTTCGTCGTGTGCGAGCCCTAGAAGGCCCTGTCCACGGTACACTGTGCAGACAATGTGCAGACTCTATCAACTTTCAATTTAAATCTTCTTCCACTGCTCATGTCATCCACCGCTCGTTCAAGAATCAACTTACCGTTCGACTCTGGCCAGGAACAAGCGATCTGGGTCGCTGCAGAGTTTTCTATTCTAGCAGCCACGTATACAATGGCGTCCCGAATAATATGAAATCTCTATCAGAGTTTTAGCATGAGGCAGGGACCTCTCCCAAGATGCCGTCCACGAACTAGAACGCTACAACAGCATATCGAGGTTGTCCAAGGACTCGGTCATCTATATATGGCCCCTCGAAGACTTACGGAAGCTGTCGCTCTGTCCCCATGGAATACGCGTTGTTGGACCTATCGGGAGCAACACCCTCCCGGCGAAGGATGTACTTCACTCATTTTGGCCTTCTTGGGCATAGTTTGCGTGGCGTAACGCTGTTATCTACATGTCGGCGTGTGTGTATGCGGGGACTCGAATCAGTAGTGGCAAACCGTCGGTGCGAGAATCGCTCATTGAACGTGGACCACAGCGGCGATATAGTGCGTTCACCGTGCCCCTGGGGTCGTTTCGAAGCCCACGGAGGAAGCAAACTCGGCATGTTTTTCTCAGCAAGGGACTCAACGGAGCTGACCCACCCGACCGCTAGAACCGGGCACGCTCATCTTCGCATGACTTCTAGCTACTTTGGTATTGCGCGACGAGATGCTGAAGAAAACCAGGAATCAAGTGCGACTGTCCACCTGATGTCTTTAATATTCTCTCTACCACATCTTCCCCTCGCACTTGGGTTAGCATTGCTATCCTGCCATTGGATCCTGCCCTGCCGAATTCCCTTGGGTTCATCGCTGTTTCCCGTACTAATGATTTGCGCGGCATGCACGACGAGGAGATTCTCGTGGTTTGCGATGATATTTGCTACATGTCATGACAGTCAGTCAGAATGAGGGCTTGATGGAACGTATTGGGTTGGGCGTCATTCATGAAGCTGCCTGGGTTGCTTTAAGTGTGGACAAGGCACTGTTTCTTCGATAGTGGCTGGTAATGATAGTTAACCTTCCATCTGATTGCTGTCTAATTAAACGAACTTTGTCCTCTGATCAGGCATGACTCCGAGTTCAACATGGTCAGTTAACCAGTTGATGGGAGTAACGCGAAGCGCCCTCATAATTATTTGCATTCTGGATGATCTTGGAGATATGAGTACTCAATATGTGCTGATTGGTTGGAGCGTTCCTCATGTTATACACCACTACTAGTTGGCACATGGACGCGCTCCTGGAAAACAGTCTAAGTCAAGGTGGTCCCTGCATCGGAGTACGGGCTTAACGTGATGTTCACGAACGCTAAGGATGAGCCTTGATCCCAGTACAAACAACTGCACAACCGCGAGGATTCCAAGAATGCCATCACAAACTACGGTTCCCGTGGAAGCTGAGGTCTACAGAAAGAAATTGTGAATAATGGTCGCATGCAGATATCATGGCCAGATTGGCTTACCGAGATGTTTAGCGAGAGCACCGACATTGAAGCGAGGGGCACCAATAAAACTAGCATGTGCGGAACTTCAGCAGAAAATACAACCGCATTGAAATCGAATTCACCTTGCAAAGTCCACCACATGAGTTTGTAGTAACGCCTTGAAATAATTACTGACGGTCCGAATTGTTGCAGTTCACGGAAGTGTTGTACAGCAATCCGCACTGCAAGACACAACACAAGAACCCCGCATTCAGTGTAGAGTACCCAAATCATGGTCCTCAGAAGTTGTCCATTTATCCCATTATTCGCACAGATAGACGCCAGAGAGTATCAACTTCTCTGTTATTCACTAATGAGCCTGATGACACAATTCTCTTTAGTCCATGATCAAGCTTACCTTCTGCGAAATACGTGATGTCTATTGTGCCGATCACGATGCAGGCAATGTGGACGGCCAGGAATACATCAACAAGAAAGATCAGCATCTTTCTGGATCGCTGATGCATAGCATGTAATCGAGCGATTATGATCACTCATAGCACGTTTCGGTCTAGTCAATATCACCGATGGTATTGCAACGGAGTGACCCACTACTGTGACGAGATCCATCCAATCTATGATGTAAAACGTAAAATTGCCTGCGAGATTGGGTAGTGAAGTGTTTGGGTGGATCAAAAGCTCCAGGCAAACTCAGGGCTGGGGCGGTCATCATGCTATGAATTAGCTAGCTGAAGAATTGACTTACCCCTACATAAGAGTGCATTTAATCAGATGTGAATGGCAGGCGTTCGTGTAGACTACCCACTACATCTGTCACCGAGCTTGACGGAAGACTGACTATATACCACCAGCCATAAGAAACAAACGCAGTGTATATGGTGAGACACACTCAGCATGTTGACGCTAGTTACATGAGGTGGGCTATTAGCACAAGGCAGATTTGTTCGCCTTACAAACATACGTTGCGTACATTATTCCCATATAACGGACCTAAATAGGTTCAAGTCGGTACACCTTGTCAACTGGACCTATATTAATAATACAGACTGCGCGCACACACATATAACAGTCATGAGGGATCAACGTTGCCTCTGCACGAATCAGTTGTATTATCCCGTCGTGCTCGTGTGTTGTGCCCACCCAAATTAATTCGACCTTCAACACATTCTTAGCGAGATGGCTGCTTCGGTAATGGCGTCACCCCTACCTATTGTCTGAATGTAAGTGCTTGAAATATCATGAGGCATCAGTGATTCTTGAAAATTATCTTGCTCACCTCAATCATAAATTAATACAGCAGACGAGGCAACTGTGATCCCTCAGTCATAGTTAGGTGAACATATCACCCACAACTGAATCTTCACGAATGTATAAGATAGCTATAATAAATATTCAAACTGATTATTGGCCACTGAGTGGGATTATTCGAGATTGGTGTCATATTTGATGGACGGGTGCGGGGGGTGAGATTATCGGATGTGAAAATTCCTGCTAGATATACGCGACAACCCGGTACTTTCATTACCAAACATTATGAAGATATTCGTCACTGCCTTGATTGACGGAAGTGAGCATCGTGGTGCAAATAGAAAATGTGGATGTACTAACTATTGAGTCAAACGATATTTGGCTATGGAACGGCGATGTGGTGTCGTGCGCGAGGTGCGGGGCGTTCGGGTATCGCGCGAGGCCGTGAAGGGCTGAGAGCGTTTTCAGCACCTTAATATAACCCTGCCAAATCTATACCGGTGCAATCAGTTTTCCGAGAGCAATGAGCCTTGCCGCCCATTGATCCGATCAATCCATAGGCCTAGCCGAGACGGAACGCTCCGAAAACCCAGCCACCTCAATCATTCTCGAAGAGCATCGGCGCTTTCTGCGCTCCTGGATTGGTGAGCGTAACTGCTCATCAGTCTAGATCCATCATGCAGTCGATATAGTCAGCTTTGCATCGATTTAGACACGCACGAACGACCGCATGACCACGCACTTACGTATTCTTGTTCTTCAAGCTATACAGACTCAAATCATAAAATCATTGAAGCGTTAGTGATTTCAGTGACTTCACCGCGTTTTTCCTGAATACCGAATATGGTGTGCTTTTTGTGTATCTGAGGACCATCTATCAGAAATGGTGACATTAAGTGCACCTGGACCAACCCTCTGCTCTGGAGGATAATTATGCAAATTGGAACTGTGATGCCAGACGAACATATGTCGTCAGGAAGTGTCACGTATGTATCGCAAACATCCACTCTTGGTAAAACAGACGTTGATTATATAAGAAGTACAGAGTATCTGGAGGCGATGAGTGCGATGCTCCCTAGCTCAGAACAAGGAACCGACCTATAGAATAAGTAAGGCTAGGCGTAGGGCATGAGTTTTTTTAAGGTTGGTGTCTGCGCTCCGCTGGAATATGCTGTCTGACAAAGTGCGTTCTTACGCCCTGGTCTCTTAGTAACGTTCAAATGCGCGTGTGCCGCATGTGCCTGTGCGCATCGTTGAGCTAAATAAGATCGATGGGGGAACGGGGAGATGCACGTACGCGTTTGAACTTGCCATTGCTGAGCGCCCTCCACCGTTTCTTTGTACCGCTGTGCGTCTTGAGTTTTGGGAAACTGGTAACGGCAGATGTGGAGAATTGTTTTGCAGTCGCTACGAGGCGCGAGAGGAACATGGTAACAGTATGCCAAGCGAGTCAATTATATGAAATCGAATTCAAAGTCTGAAGATCCATGTTCGACAGGTTGACTACTCTACCGGTCCTGCCGGAGCCCGGCTGACAAAATTGGGTATTCGCCGGCCGGCACAACATAAGTTGCATCATCCCACACATTATCTTCGCCATCGTAATCGACAACAGCTTGTTGTCAGATTGAAAAGCTTCCCTAGATGAGGACCGTACGAGAATCCAGGGAAAACCCTGGAATTTGCGGTGGTGCGACTGCATCGTCACCACTGATTACCGCGGACTTCCATACGATTCAATCATGGTTCAACAAGTCATTCGTGGGGGCGACTCACCAAAAAATGATCTAGGCTCGGCATCTGTGTTCTCTTATGCGAGAACCACTTAACCTCAACTGTAGCCAAACCGTACAGGCTGATCCTTGCAATATCCTCACCCATTCAGACGAAGACAGACTACTATTGCGTCATGGTACCGTTGGTTTGTACCCCAACCGTCGGTACGTTTATTCTAGATAACATCTCTGTTAGTCTCGGAAGCTATAAAATCCTACCAACGACACAAGTCATTGGCAAAAGTAGTCCGAGCCCCCTAGTGTTCGATTTCGAACCTTCGAAGCAAGTTGCATGCCTCCCAATATCTTGAATTCAATTGAATATGCACACGCTTTCGCTTCCGGGGCGTCGCAGAACCCGTCGAAAGGTTATTCAGAGAAGTACCAACCCGGAGTTTACCATGCAAGGCTTCTGAAGGGTTTCTGCCGACTGAGACGGCGCTTTCCGAGTATAACAGAGTTCAAGTGAGTGTTATCATTCGCAGCCCAAAGCGCTGCCTGTTACCAGGAGCTGCCAGGTCACTCGAATATATAAGGGGCGTTAGCTTGGCATTAGGCCACGGATTTACAAATTCACTGCCCACTCATGATGACCTTCGGGAAATCGGTGCAGTAGAAACTAGTGCTACGAAGCAATAAACCACGACTCGGAATGAAGGAAAGTACTGCATACTAGCAGATTCTTATGATATACCAAGATACGAGTTTCATTTTCTCGTTGGTCATACAGGGATCCATACGTTGTCATGGATTGATCATTCGCTTCTCACTGAAAGTGTCAAGTCCTCGATACTCGAGTATACCCGCGAGGTTCGTTCTCGGAAGACTCCACGGAGCTCCAATTGAAGTTGAATAGGGACAGGCAGAAGCCAGCCCATACCAATCACGTAGCCCCAGCGTTGGTCGGTCCGAGCAGCATTCAATTCCTTCAGGGTATGGCTGATGTGTCTAAATGACGGAATTATTCACGAAATCCTACATCTCCTTCAACTAACCGTTCTCGCGAGTTGCGCGGAAGCATATCTCCGGATAGGATATCGAGTCCACAAATGTGTCACAATGTACCTTGCAGTGTATGTAGCACGTTCGGACTCGAGTCTGGTCCTTCATGTTCAAAAGGAGTGATTTTTTGTACAACTCCCTCCATCGCCCCTTCTTCAACGCGTCGTTGCTATGAAGGGTAGTATCAAGGGGCATTTTTGAATAGAACGCGGGATATCGTAACTTTAATCGCAAAAATTAGGTTCGGGGGAACGACGCTGTAAGTCAGTGACGAAGCTGAGGTTGGAATGACCTAAAAGACATGGACCGGACCGCGCGAGCCGCTAGCTTCAAGTTAGGTTTTCAACCTTCCAAGCCGTACTTGCAACGCCTTGTAACATGTACACATGCCCCATGATGGATGGTGTGCAGTGTCATGGAATGTGGTGAGCCTACACCTGTAATATGCAACAATAAGTACTGGGTGGGAGGAATTTTGGGCGATAAACGACCAGTACCGTCCTGATCACGTCTCGACTAAAAAGTCGAAAGAAATACATAACGGGCGATGTGTTTTGTGTCGTGGCAGATACAGTTTCGGTCCTTCGGAGACGCAAACAACGTTATGCAGCAGAGCACGAGTTCAGGTCCGCCGGCCTTATGATGTAGCGGATTTGGACATATGTGCAGTTTCATGCCTGTGCAATTTGGCCCCATGATACGATCCGATGATTTAAGATGACGAGGCGAAGCATGCAATGGGTTCTGATTTTTGCTCATTGATTTCGAAATAATTTTGCAGATTGATCTCGATGAATTCATCCTTAAAGTGGTTGCCATGCATCAGTTACGACCGTCCAGACAGGCAGATTACTATTAGACTGTCGGTGATGGCGGTAGCAATCGCAAGGCTGTAACGGTGAAACCCCAGGTACCCCTGGCCGCCGATTAATCATGTCAGCGCCGTCTGGGGAACGGAACTGCTATCGGGCACCTTGAAGAGCCGGGTTGAAACAATAAGGAGCAGTTTCACGACAGCTAAATATTGGATAGACCTACATGTATGATGTTAACTCGACACCTGATCTCCTCGAAATATATCACATCAATTACTGAGTACATGAAGTATCAGAGACTTGGTACCTGGTAAAGCGACCTTTTCCGAATTGTTCCTTTTTTTTTCTTTTTATTTGTCATTATTTTGACCGGCATACCAGATTATACCTTGGCAAGCACAAGATCCGTACACAGAGAGCTCAAAACTCGAGTTATGGTCCGTAAATCTGTATAAATACGAGGTTGATTCTTGTCACTATTGAAACCATTGTTATTCCCCGATTCACTGCATCAATCGATTCTTGGTTAAGTGGACGCGACTTACCTGTAGATTTTCTATAGACGTCTATTATCACTGCTAGACGATGTCCTCGACGCCGTCCCAATCTCATCCCAGTCTGGGAGTTCTCCCAAACATGAATCACCTCAACGGTCTTTCTGCCGCAAGCTCGAGGGCTAGTAGCGAGGCATCCTTGCAGCGCGTCAAGAACCTGCCAGGTTATACTACCCCAGTCTTCAAAGGCAAGGAAGAACAACGCGCCAAGGTGCAAGCGGATGTCGCTGGCAAGGTAATGCAAATTGCATCTCTCAGTCACAGCAAGCATTAATTTTCATGTCACATCCATAGGGTTTCATTCCTCGCGAGCTGGTCGCAAACGAAGTCAACTGGTTCTACTCTCAGCTCGGCATCGACGACACCTACTTTCAAAATGAATCACCCTCTGTAATATCTGATCACATCATCGCGCTCTTTGGTGCTAAGGTGCTCGCCTACACTAAGCATGATCTCAATAAGCTCGTCATCGACCTCGAGAAGATCGACGAGAAAGGCAATGGGGCGACTTTCATTCACACCAGTTTACCGGGCCTGACTTCTACCGAAGGGCCCGGCGCTACCTGCGAATCCAGGTATGTTTATCTGATGTGGCTCATAATTGCTATGCCGATTTTGTGCCTGACACAGAATCGACTCCTTATACCTCGACAACTCAACTCCGTTGAATTGTTACCGCCTTGAGACTTTCCGATCTACTGGATCCATATCGGCTACAGCATCTCAACAGCTGCGTTGTTACTTCATCACCAAGTGCAACTTTCCTTCCCTACCACCTCCCTCAACTCGGACTGATGGACTTACTGATATCCGTACGGTCTCCGACACTGCCTTCCTTGAGAAGGCGAGCCCGCATACTCTTGAAGTGTACCAGAAAATCATGTGGCAAGTCGAGAGCCGCTACGGTCCTGTCATGGAAGTATTTGAAGTTGAAGGCACTCGTGAGAGGCGTCTTGTCATCGGATACAAGATGGGCGGCACTTCCCGTTTCTTTAGGTGTGTTGACCTGTTTATATTATAGCACACTAGCCTTAAACTCATTCGCAGCGCTTTATCGAACCTCTATCACTTTTACCAGCTGTACTCGGCCCGCAAGTATGTAGAGCAGTTCTCCAATGGGATCACGATCATCTCTTTATACCTGAATCCGATGCCTAACTCAACTGGCGCGCCGATCGAGCACTCCATATTCCAGGTGATGAAAGAAGCATCTCTACTTTACTGTCTTCCGGACAACCCCTTTTTCCTCGATTCTGTCAACTCTGGACATGCTGTGCAAGAGGCGACCTATGCTTGTATGCTCAATATTTTTAAGACAGAAATTGAATTAATCGTTCATTAGATTGTGGTTGGGTTTTCGCTCAACACTTCTGCAATCGCCTGGGCCCGGCGTATCTCCACCTTAAGAATATCCTGGACGAATCGAACCCCTCACACGCCGAAGTTCTCAATGATATCAAGAGACGCTTCAGGGAGGAGACTTTCACGCGGGAGAGCATTGCACAAGTCATCCATGCACACGCGGAAATTGTGCGCTGCCAGTCTCGCTTGGGATGTTACATTAATATCTTTCCAACAGATTCGTCTCCTCTATGTTAATTTCGCCATGGTACATTATCCAGCTGCAGATGAGGCATCGCAGCTCGGGTGAGTCGGCTCATGTATTTGCCTTAGGTCACTCTGACGAGATGCGCCTAGTCCCACTCTATCTTACCAGCGTCTTCAAACCACGCAGCCCCTGTCTGACTCTGAGTTGTACGATAAAATCAGACGCACAGTCCTGAACAAGCAGGATCTACAAGTTCTTGAGAGTTTCCTCATCTTCAACAAGTGAGTCTGAAAGCGAGTGATTGATTGGTAGCTGACCTTTCCGTAGGCACATCTTGAAGACGAACTTCTATCAACCCACGAAGGTTGCACTGTCGTTCCGTCTCGCCCCTGAATTTTTGCCCGAGATCGAATATCCAAATAAACCTTTTGGAATGTTCATCATCATCGGTAATGAATTCCGTGGCTTCCACATCCGCTTTAGAGATGTTGCCCGTGGTGGTATTCGAATCGTCATGTCACGGAATAAGGAGTACGTGCGCCTTTTCTGGATTTCGGGATCCTGCAGCTAAGTTCTATGCAATTAGGAACTATTCGATCAACCAGAGGATGTTGTTCGATGAGAACTACGGGTTAGCTGCCACTCAATCTTTGAAAAATAAGGACATTCCGGAAGGAGGGGCCAAGGGTACTATTTTGCCTTCGTGCGTGATTTCACTTCCCATCTTTGTATTTTTATATACCTTTCATGCAGTCTTGGAGCGCCGCCTAGACGCTGTTTCGAGAAATATGTCGATGTAAGTGCGCAACTATGCATCAATGGACAGATATTGATCATTCAATTAGGCTGTCATCGACCTGCTTATCCCCGGCCAAACTCCAGGGATTAAGGAACGCCTGGTTGACTTGTATGGAAAGCCGGAGTTGCTGTTCTTCGGCCCTGATGGTAGGATTGCGTGTTCGATGTTCCATGGAGGTGACTGACATCTCGTATAGAGGGTACAGCAGACATGATGGATTGGGCAGCGTTGCACGCTCGCGATCGTGGTGCCGAGACATGGTGGAAGTCATTTACCACCGGCAAGAGTGCTGAGCTTTTGGGTGGTATTCCCCATGATACATATGGAATGACGTCGCTATCTATTCGTCAATATGTGCTTGGCATTTACAAGCAGCTTGGACTAAGGGAGAAAGACATCACAAAAGTTCAAACAGGTGGTCCTGGTATGTTTACGTCTTTACTTTTTGAAAGTTGTCCTTGACATTTTGCAGACGGAGACCTTGGTTCAAATGAGATACTCTTGAGTTCTGACAAGACCATTGCTATTATCGATGGCAGTGGTGTCCTTGCAGACTCTGCAGGTATCAATAGGGAGGAGCTCATTCGTCTTGCCAGACATCGCCTGACTGTCGCTCACTTTGACAAGACCAAGTTGAGCAAGGATGGGTACCTTGTCAAGGTCGAAGAACAGGACGTCAAGCTACCCTGTATGTTTAGCTCTCTTGAAGTTTGTTGTCATCTCACATGCTGTTGTTAGCCGGTGAAATCGTTCTGGACGGTACCGACTTCAGGAATGGTGCTCACTTTCGTTTCAAGGCAGACCTTTTTGTGCCTTGCGGTGGACGGTATGTTTGCGTCACTACCTGCACCAAACACCTGTTGACAATCATTCAGTCCTGAAGCCGTGAACATCTCTAATGTTGCTGCTTTGACGGATACAGAAGGCAAACCCCACTTCAAGTACATCGTCGAGGGTGCAAATCTGTTTTTCACTCAGCAGGCAAGGTTGCACCTGGAGAAACGCAAGGTTGTCTTGTTCAAGGACTCTAGTGCGAACAAGGGTGAGATTACTTTTTTACAGTCTATTATATGGTCTAGACCTTGCTTCAGGTGGTGTGACCAGCTCCTCGCTTGAAGTGCTCGCCGGTCTCGCCCTCACGACCCAGGAATACCTCGACCTGATGATCTTCAAGGACGCCAAGCCTTCAGAGTTCTATCAAAAATACGTGAAAGAAATTCAAGAGAAGATTTCGGAGAATGCCGCAGCGGAGTTCCACTGCATTTGGCGCGAGCACGCCCGCCTCCAAGGCGCTAAGCCCCGAACGCAGATTTCAGACGAGTTGTCCATGAGGCTCAATAACTTGCAGGCAGAGCTTGAGCTCTCTGACTTGTTTGATGATGTACCTAGCCGCAGGGGTGTTATGAGGCGCGCTATACCCACCACCCTAGTAGATCAGGTCGGTCTCGACGCCCTGCTGGAGAGGCTTCCCGAAACATACCAACGCGCTCTATTCTCGAGCTGGGTTGCTTCGCATTACGTGAGTTCCAACCGTACCTCCCTGCTATTTGCTCATCCTTAACCTTCGTCTTGCAGATCTACAAATATGGCGTTAACAGCTCTAGTGTAGACTTTTTCCATTTCGCTCGGGATCTCGCACGGTAACATTTGTTTCGGGACTTGACTTTGGAATCACTACGTACTGTACATAAGGAGAGGCCAATAATGCCATATCAGGACCGATAAGACCGCTTTCTCCTGCCTAGTGGCGCTTTCAAAATGGACTATATACATAATGTACCAAATGTGACACGACGTTATAAACCCGAACTGCCACGTTGACTCTAACATTGTAGAAGATGACATGTCCTACACCAGCGAATGAAATGAGGAATTTAAAAACATTTGCAACCATCGTTTGCATGAAACTGCAGCTCGAAAGTCCAGAAAGCTGACAATAAATTATCAAGAAAGCAAGTTCCAAGTATCAAGACACCACGAAACTAAAACAATACAAAAACTCTCTGGCGGGGAGTCGAACCCCGCTCTCCCGCGCGCAGCAGCTGTGACAGGCGGGTGTACTATCCGATATACTACCAGAGATATATTTGGAGAGGAAAAATACTTATACCTCTAATCCTCGTATATATGGTAAACGTTCAATATTATTATTTTACTAGGTTGTCCCTATGTAACAAGAATTGTGCCACTGACGAAAGACCTTGTGCAGTCAAGGGCACAAAAGGAGAACTGTTAAGTAAATGGTTTTGTGCCTCTTCCATATGGGCTTGATTATCTCAAGCCAAAGCAGAGAGGTTACTTGCTGCTTGAACTTGAAATTCGAATCCAGATTCCGCTCCTTTGACTCGGTCGCATGGCTATGCTTTCACACCCGCACTGATGCTTGGTCCCACTTAGATCATGATTTTCACTGGTCACCTGTCGACCAGTAATTCATAACTGTGGACGCCACGATACCGGAACCTGTTTTGTGCTTCTCTATCGATGATGTCGGATGCCATCAGCCGGAGTATTGAAGTAAGTAAAATTACTCCTCTCAAGTATTAGCTTGAATGTCGTGACAATGTGTCGGCGACATGGCCTTGGTTGTACACAATAAAAGGCTTGGTCATCACATCGATGTGGACCAGTGGTGTACAAGGCTTTTTGTTGCCCGTCGCCATCTTCTTACCAGTACTAGATGCCAGTCGCGTTGTACTATGCTTTGACTATGCTTTGACGATCATTGTTCAGGACCTGGGTGGAGGTCCACCACTACGACAAAGTTCCACATAGCTGTGGCCCTCGCCAATCTTATAAATTACCATCGGACTGGAGTTGTACCTATCATTGAAAACCAACATACCCCCTCAGCCTATCTATCGACTCGTCCCCTCATCTTTTAGCCATGGCAACTGTTGATGCTGAACTCATGTCACAAATGAACCATCTCTATGAACATGCAGCATCATCGTTCGGAGGCGACAAGAGTCCATACGCAGCTCTCTCCTGGCAGTCGAGCGCTGGCACGCCCGATCGATCCTTGAATATTTCTCCCTGCAGCAGCAATACAACATTGGTCGATGACGAAACACAAGCTCACGGGCTCGAGTATGACCAACTTAGTCAGGCATCGGTTCAGGAAACTGTGCCAGGCGTCCACTCGTGTCGCATTCAGGCGGCCCAACCCATAAATTCCGAGCTCAACCCGAACGCCACGACATTTGTTCCCGACCGCTTTGTAGAGTACGGCTACTTTCCTCCACCTATTCACACACCGGAGGCATGGTTGCATATCCTTGATATCGGTATGCTGACATCCGATCCCACCTTGCCACCTCTCCTGGTACGGTTGGGTCCATGGTCAATCGATACATTACGCGATCTTGCACAACTTTTCTGCTGGGAAATTTTAGCCAAAGCGAATATAGTGGATTTTGGACTGGAGGCGGCGCTCTTTGCGCGAGACGTGCGTGATACATTGACGATCCATCACTCCGAGTGGCACTCTAGCTGCTTTGTGTCTCACTTGCAAAAGTACGCCTTAGATCACTTCAAATCATTCTGGTGTTCTTTTGTGCGTAGTATCGCAGTTCATTCTGATGGTACTCACCATCGCACAGGATAACCCGGATGCTATTTGCCAACGGAATAGACTCGAAAGCAAACGGTGGAATGTCGCGTTGGATTTTTCTTGTTTCATAGCGGACATGTTCTCATTTGGCCTCATCGAAACACCAGTCATGCACGATTGTCTGGGGATTCTGTTGCACGAGATGGTTGGCGTGCAACACGTACGCGCCGTCCAAGCCATGGTTAAACGCGCTGGACCGACGTTATGGCAATCAGCCGATAGTCATGAACGCCGCCAGGAATTCACCACGCAGTTCGTGGAGCGCACTACATCACTTCCAGATAATGCAAGCCTGACTAGACAAGAAGAAAGCATCCGTAAGGTGATAAAGGTGTGTGTGATATTGCTGAATAGCTTTTGTGGAATTAAAACACATTGTTCACTGCACAGGCTGATAATATTATCTCGCTGATCAGTGAATGGCAAGCGCGGCGGTCAGAGTGCCCTCCGCCTGCGGTGAAATCTATCTGGGGATTATCTGGCCTTAATATGTAGTCTATGCGCATCGTAGCTGAGTGTCTCTGAAGATAAAAACATATGCTTTATGAAGAATACCAGGTTTGACTATAAGAATAGTGTGCTTTGATTCAAACACTAGGGTTTGGGTGGCGTAGGATAAACCCTAGACGGATTTAGTGCTGCACTTGCAGCGTGAATGTGCTCTGTGACGTTCACCTCAAGAGAATAATGAGGTAAGTCGAAGAGAGGTTCCGCCTTTGTCAACGGTACACGTAACAATGGCATGAGGCAATGTTCCATACAAACACTTCGAAGATAGTCAGTGAAATGTTATAATCGGGTGCTTATCCAGACCAGCTGTCTAATTCTTCGACATAATTCAGCGCGCGCCTATATGCCTACATTACCGTCAACTTTAGGTGCTGGAATATGTGCTCTAGCCCACGAGGACGTCTGGTCCGTCGCGTTCAATAGAGGATCTAGAGGACAAAGTGCCCACGATGTTCCTTCTGACGAATTGGGTGGGAGTAACGCCACCGCTGCCAGTGAGAGGTATGTGTGATAAGGATCTAGGACAGCGTTTGCTGCAAAGTCAAAGGATTTGAAAATGGCGTACCAGGGTGCTCGCCGGGAATCTTTGCAATTCCGCCGTATTTGAATTGGCAGGAAGCTATAAAAGATGTCATTGCTGCTTTGTCAATCAGATCGCCTGCATTTAACACCTGTTGCGTTGGAACGGGGAATTTGTTTTTTAGTTTCTATCGACACCATAGGATGCTACGAACTTACATGCAGCGATGCGCCGCACCAGAAACAATAACATGCATCAGCGTCCTTGTTGGTCCTTCCACTAAACCCGCCATTAGATGCTTGATTTTGTACAAGCCACCGAATGGTTTTCTGTCGATCTTGAAGGGAAAGAGGATCTAGTTGTTTAGTAGCTAACTGGAGTGCTGCCAGTGCACAATACGTAGTGCCGCCTGATGAGGGGAGGTGGGGTGAACTTTTATTACGTCATAAGGCATGGTGCGCTACCTAGAGCCTCCCCAAACGGTGATTGCCCATAGCCTCCTTCATATGACTTAAGAACGGCTGTTAGAACAGCTCCCAATGTAAAATTATCGCAAGCTTACTCGGCACGAACAGATGAACTGGAGAGCATTTGCAACGTCCATCCCTGACCAGTCGTCAAGCATGGTGCTGATGGCGAAAGCACAGAACGTCGTGCGTAGATCAGAGTCACCCCCTAAAGGCTCAGAAGAAAAACTAGGACCCTTGGTCTGTACCTTGAAAGTGTTTGACATGATATAGGGACTTACCTTCCATCGATATTCTGACAGGACCTAAGGAATTTCAGGAGGCCCTTCCTGTCAAGACGTGAAAAGTCGTCGCGCAATATGGACAGGGAGAGAAGGGCAGTATAAGTCATGATGATCTGAGGGTTATCATGGCCCGAATATTCCTCTGTCTTCAGACCAGAAATCAATTATGTCTATATAACGAAGGTCGACTCTCACCGAGTGTTTCGTAGTCATATAAGAGCTCGCTCGGAAGCCAGTCCCATAATGTCCGCCTGGTGACTGGCTCAATTCTCCAACACACTTGGATTTCAGAACTGGCTCACGAGTCTGTTGACTCCATATCCATTCCCTCCATTGTTCTCTTTCCCAATCCCTAGTTTTCTTTTCGAGTTCACCCGAAACATCTAGGGAGCCTAGGCAGTAAAAGGACAGGGCAAGCCTGTGATAATCGTGTTAGAATAGCTGCCATCGAGATCAGCATTGAATAAAGCACTTGGCCGGATCAATATCCACTTGGGAAGATGGCAAGCCGGACAAGCATCTTTTGCAGTGTGTTGCATGACCACCTTTGCTCAGCAGAGGCAAACTTGTTGGCAGCATGGTGATTTTCCTACAAGAGTCTCCCTTGGTCAGATCAATAAAGATGGAAGAGGTGTTCCGATTTGCTAGCAAGCAGAGGGTGTGGTGGCTAGCATATATAGTGTTCGCTGACTCTCGCGCGCATTCAAAATCGATGATTGTGGTCGTCGGAAAACCGTCCCCGGGCGGGCCGTTGTTGCTCACATGGAAGGTCTTAGGTCACCCAACTCAATGTAAGCGCGTGCGCACTGTGTAGCCGTGCCGTTGAACTCTTGCAGCCTCGAGACTTTTTGAGATGAACTATCAAGGAGACTGTTGCTAATCTGGTATGAGACCTACTATCGCCTTTCGAGAAATATCATGATGACATATTCGAGCTAGACGTGATCAGCCCTGCCCCATAGATGGGCTGGTCTCTGGTCTCTATGGTTCGAGCGTGTTATCGCGCGTACCGCTCAGCGCTCAGCTTCCTGCGGATTGAAACTTCCGAGATTTGAAGATCCTGCACTACTCTCACATAAGATCTATCGCGATGACATATTCATGCTGTCGTGTACAGCTCCTGCAACTTGAAATATCGAGAAGATTGATATTCTTGTTGCTATACAACCGATGTAATACAAGCACTCCCCAATATCCGATTCTCTCACATGTAAAATCCTGTACAAAGATCAACCGCCTTGTGAGAGGCGTGTTGTGGAAATCCGACTCACCTGCGCTGGGAAGGTTTGAACTATATCCTGAAGACGGCGGCACTGAAACAGAACTAGTGTCATATCTAAGGTCAAGTGCCTACGGCACTGTTTTGTTGGTGTATTGTTGCGCTAGAATGGCAACTTGTGATCATTGGTTTTATGTCGATGAGCATGTGATGTCCGATCAAGCACATTGGGCGAGAGATGCGCGATTTAGGTTCGTTTGCGATGGAAATCCTGTAATCAAGTGATTGAGGAGTAATATGAATACGGCACTTGTGACAGAATGGAAGTCATCTGGTTCGATCAGTCGCATGGCGGGAAAAGACAAAGCTAGATGAATACCGAATCAAAGCGTTCCTTCCATCGCGAAAGCGTCGCTATGCTGGGACGAAAATCTTTCTCTAATCGTCCCTGCCACCTAGCAACATTTGTAATAGACCCTAGGCCTTAAAAAGACAAAAATGCATCACTCCCCTGTCCTGCTTATCTATTCGCAGCCAGAGATCATGGAGCTGCATAGACACGTCCCGAATGCCTCATGGAACACTCACCTCCTGATCCACGAAAACATCATACATCCAAGCTAGCACGTGATGGCGAAAGAAACAGTCCTGGATGAATAGACCAAGATGAGACAATTCAGAATACTCTGAAGTAGTCTCATACAGACTCCTTCGGTCATGAAATTATTATTATTTATCATCTTTGCGAGTGAGTTTCATTTGATCCACCACTATCTTCACAATATCGCACCATTCTGTCATGGCACCCAGTCCTGCGAGAAAGGACCAAGTTATCCACAACGAAAACAAAAGTCGAAGTAACATACCAACATCCCCACATGCGAGATTCTTTCCAATTGGCCCGATAATTTGATACCGCACAACATCCCGCACAATGCGCACATGCTCTGCTGTGAGCGGATGTTCGTACATGAGCGTGTTCATTGCCGGGAATACGTAAGTCGGCGTCGTAGGTGCCAGCGCACGAAGTAGAGAGGTCTACTAAAAATATTATCACCGCATGAGACGCGAACAGGCGGCACAACATACTGCAAGGTTGTCGCAGAGTCCGTGTGCGATTTTTGAGAGCGTATTTGCCGAGCAGGGAGCGACAAGGACTATGTCAGCCCATCTCCTCAACTCGATATGCAGGATTGGATCTCCTATCTTGTATGTTCCCTGTCATGGACGTTGAGACGCAGAAATTCATCTTGAAATTTCGTGTACTCACTAACCACTCGTCCTCATCCGTCCACACGCGTCCACCTGCCTTGACTACGTCCGCACGGTCGTAAAACGCAAGCGACTCTTTCGTCGCAACCACTTCTACCTTGACATTCTGATACTATATTTGCATGTGCAGTGTAAGCACTGGCAGCAGTAGGATCTTATCAAGAGGGACAGACTTGAAGAAGCCCTGCGATAATGAGAGGAGCTTTGATAGATGCTACGCTGCCAGTTGTTATCAGCAGCACATGATAGTGATCTAGGAGGCGCTCTTTTTCGGCAATAAACTGTCTGTTCATCATCGGTGCGTATACATTAGAAGTTTGCTGAGCAGCTGGAGAAAGTAGGGTACTTGTAGTCGACTTGCAAGTAGCTAGTTTTGAGCTAGTTGATTGCACTGACGATAGCTTCAGTTCAACGCTAGTGCTGGTAAGATGTTTATCCCACGGGCTACGGCCGCATACGTCAACGTCCGAGTCACTGGCGCCCACTGGGCGCCTACTAATCAATTATCATATACTACTTTTGAAGTTTCAGCAAACAGTCACTTGTGAGTCTCTGAACAGGCGTTGCTGAGAGTGCTTATTCATTCTCTACTATGAAAATGCTACCACATACTAGTCGCTGTACCAATATTGATACCAACTCCCTTTTTTCAATACCCAAATCAATCATTCCCGTGAGAGATCCCGAGCGAAGTGAAAGAAATCTATAGTGGAACTGTTAACGCCGTATTTATAGATCTGTGAGAGGTGAGGATGGTGCTCATGTAACATGAAAAGTGGCTAAAACTCACAAAATGTGAAGAAACCCAGCTCGAGAACAGAGCGCGCTGGTATGGCTCGGGAAGCCTCTCCAGCAGGGTATCGAGACCGACCTGCTCCACTAGGGTGGTGGGTATAGCGCGTCTCATTACACCTTTGCGGCTCGGAACATCCTCAAACAAGTCGGAATGTTCGAGCTTAGTGTGCAATTCGTTGAGCATGATGGAGAGTTCGTCCGAAATCTGCGTCCGAGGCTTACCACCTTGGAGGCGGGCGTGCTCTTGCCAAATGCAGTGGAACTCTGCGGCGGCATTCTCAGCAATCTTGGTCTGAATGTCTTTAACGTAGTTTCGGTAGAAGTCTGACGGCTTGCCGCCCTTGAAGACCATAAGGTCGAGGTATTCCTGGGTCGTGAGGGCGAGACCTGCGAGCACTTCAAGCGAGGAGCTGGTCACACCGCCTGAAGCAGGGTCAACATTATTAAACAAGTGATAGTAAGGTAATCTCACCCTTGTTCGCACTGGAGTCCTTAAACATAACGACCCTGCGTTTCTCCAGGTGAGACCTTGCCTGCTGAGTGAAGAACAGATTTGCACCCTCAACGATGTACTTGAAGTGGGGTTTGCCTTCTGTATCCGTCAAAGCAGCAACATTAGAGATGTTTACGGCTTCAGGACTGCATAATCGTCAGCTGGTGTTTTGTGCAGGTAGTAACGCAAACATACCGTCCACCGCAAGGCACAAAAAGGTCTGCCTTGAAACGGAAGTGAGCGCCGTTCCTGAAATCGTTGCCATCGAGAACGACTTCTCCAGCTAAGTACAGAGTATGTAAGATAATATCGAACTTGAAGAAAGCTGAACGGACATGGTAGCTTGACATCTTGTTCCTCGACCTTGACGAGGTACCCGTCCTTGCTCAATTTGGTCTTATCGAAGTAAGACACGGGTAGTCGTAGTTTTGCGAGGCGGATGAGCTCCTTGCGGTTAATACCTACAGGGTCGGCAAGAACGCCGCTGCCATCAATAATAGCAACGGTCTTGTCAGAACTCAAGAGTATCTCATCTACAGAGTGGTTAATGAACACACTCCATGGGCACACCGCATATCACAACTTACTTGAACCAAGATCTCCATCTGCAAAATCTTGCGTCAAGGACGAAAAACCCCAGAGTGAAAACGCAAATACCAGGGCCACCAGTCTGCACTTTTGTGATGTCCGTCTCCCTTAGTGCAAACTGCTTATAAATGCCGAGAACATATTGGCGAATAGACAACGATGTCATCCCATAAGTATCATGGGGAACACCGCCCAAAAGCTCAGCACTCTTGCCAGTGGTGAATGTCTTCCACCATGTCTCGGCACCACGATCACGAGCGTGCAATGCCGCCCAATCCATCATGTCTGCTGTACCCTCTACACCAGATGTCAGTCATCTCAACGAGTTAGCGCAAAGGGATCTTACCATCAGGCCCAAAAAACAACAACTCTTCTTTGCCATACAAGTCGACATGGCGTTCCTTAATTCCCGAGCTATGATTGGGGATAAGGAGATCGATGATAGCCTGGAATGACGATCAATAAATTTATCAACTCATGTACCATGCACGCTTACATCAATATACTTCTCGAAGCAGCGTCTGGGCGGCGCTCCAAGACTGGGTGACGAGTAAAAAGAACACCCAAGAGAGCACGGAAAATCACGCACGAAGGCAAAATAGTACCCTTGGCCCCTCCTTCCGGAATGTCCTTGTTCTTCAAAGATTGGGTGGCAGCTAATCCGTAGTTCTCATCGAACAGCATCCTCTTGTTGATCGTGTAGTTTCTATCGTCCGGTGCTCAGTCGTAGAACCACCTTCAAAAGAGGTGAACCTACTCCTCGTTTCTCGACATGACTATACGAATGCCGCCACGGGCAACATCTCTGAGGCGAATGTGAAAGCCACGAAATTCATTTCCGATGACAAGAAACATTCCAAAAAGCGGTGTTGGATATTCACCCTGGGGCAAAAAATTGGGGGCGAGACGGAACGATAGTGCGACCTTGGTTGGTTGATAGAAATTCGTCTTCAGGACGTGCCTTGAAGCGAGGTCAGCTCCCAGTTAATCAACCTGTTTTTGAATTCACTTGTTGAAAATAAGGAAGCTCTCGAGAACTTGTAGATCTTGCTTGTTTGAGACTGCACGCCTGATTTTATCGTGCAACTCAGAGTCGGACAGGGGCTGCGTCGTGTGAAGACGCTGGTAGGAGAGAGTAGGACTGGGAATTGCTCGTCAAGGCCGCCCAGGGAAAACTATCATACTCACCGCAGCTGTGATGCTTGGTCCGCAGTGGGATAGTGTACCATAGCGAAGTTGACGTACAGGAGGCGGATCTGTTAGGGAAATATTCATACAGGGAACCGAGCAAAACGGATAACGCACAATTTCCGAATGTGCGTGGATAACTTGAGCGATATTATCGCGCGTAAAAGTTTCCTCTCTGAAGCGCCTCTTGATATCATTGAGAACTTCAGCGTGCGAGGGGTTTGATTCGTCCAAGATATTCCTGAGGTGGTGGTATGCAGGACCCAGGCGATTGCAGAAGTGTTGAGCAAAAACCCAACCGCAATCTAATGAAGGATGAACTCTGTTCCTGTCTAAACAATATTTGACGTACAGGCATAGGTCGCCTCTTGCACAGCATGTCCAGAGTTGACGGAATCACGAAAAAAGGGGTTATCGGGGAGGCAGTACAGAAGAGATGCTTCTTTCATCACCTGGAATATGGAGTGCTCGATGGGCGCGCCGGTTGAATCAGGCATCGGATTCAGGTATAGAGAGATGATCGTGATCCCATTGGAGAACTGCTCTACATACTTGCGGGCCGAGTACAGCTGGTAAAAGTGATAGAGGTGCGAGAGAGCGCTGAAAACGGATGTAACCACCGTGCTATTACATATGCCGGTCAACATACCTGAAGAACCGGGAAGTGCTGCCCATCTTGTATCCAATGACAAGACGCCTCTCACGAGTGCCTTCAACTTCATATACTTCCATTACAGGACCATAGCGGCTCTCGACTTGCCACATGATCTTCTGGTACACCCGAAGAGTATGCGGGCTCGCTCTCTCAAGGAAAGCAGTGTCAGAGACAGTGCGGATGTCGGTATGTCTATCCCCCCGAGTTGAGGGCGTGGGCGTGGGCGGGGAAGGAAAGTTGCACTTGGTAACAAAGTAGCAGCGCAACTGTTTAGCTGCTGTTGCTGATATGGATCCAGTTGACCGGTAAGTTTCCAGGCGGTAACATTCCGACGGGGTTGATTTGTCAAGGTATAAAGAGTCAATTCTGCATCAAAAACAGCATTGGTAGATTAATTGGAAGCTATTAATTGTAAACACACCTCGATTCGCAAGTAGCGCCAGGGCCCTCCGTAGAAGTCAGGCCCGGCAAACTAGTGTGAATGAAAGTCGCACCATCTCCATTCTCGTCGATCTTCTCGAGGTCGATGACGAGCTTATTGAAGTCGTGCTTCGTGAATGCAAGAATCTTAGCACCAAAGAGCGCGATGATGTGATCAGATATCACAAAGGACGATTCGTTTTGAAAGTAGGTATCATCGATACCAAGTTGAGAGTAGAACCAGTCCACCTCGTTCTCGACCAGCTGGCGAGGAATAAATCCCTAATACTATGTTAATATGACGCGATGCGCAGTGAGGATTGACCTCAAAAGATGCAAATTGCAGCACCTTGGCAGCGACGTCAACCTTCACCTTAGCGCGTTGTTCATCTTTACCATTGAATATGGGCGTAGTGTAGCCAGGCAGGTTCCTGACGCGCTGCGGCGATTCCTCGGTGCCTGGACCGGAGTCATGTCCATTGACGAGAGTCATGTTGGGGTCACGGTGGATGCCTGAACTAGGACGAGGCAGGATGGCGTCCAGCACGGCGTCCAGCATTGATTAAGGTCTATGATCTATAGGAAGGTCGTGTCCAGTTGTCAGAAAGATAAATCGATGGATGGTGAGTGTAAAACAGCGTATTTATACGGACCGTGTCTAGAATTTGGGGCATTTTGACTCTGCAACCATCCACTGTCACCTGCATCGCCAAAACCACGTTTGCCACGACAGTACTGTGGCAAATTCGTACAGGTTAAGGTTCGCAAATACGTCATAGCTTGAGGTGGCATTGCGGCTCCAATTATATCGCCATTCAAATGCAAAATCAAGTGAATAGATTTATACCCGGGAAGCGCCGTTGCTTGAAATTTTTGAGTGCCACTCTACCCGCGGTGTAACACATGGCAAACGCTACTTCCAGGCAGATGCGATCTGTGGTCCAATTAAGTTCAAACGATGAAGCTGGCTTGGCCAGTAAACTCACAGTAGTATCCCTGATGGGTCAATTCCACCAAGTGTTGAGCGCGGTGGAGGTGGGGATCTTCCCAAAAATCTTAAACGGCGAGCGCGCAGCAACAGCTGCATAAACAGATATGCGGACACAGGACATGGCTGCGATCGATAAGTTCTACGCTCGAAGTGCAGATGTAGGACTCACAAGTCATGTGGGTAAGTAAGGGTGATCAACCGCAATCTGCCGCCAAACAAATAAACTCGAACAAAATGTTATATAGGAACAACGTTTATACATAGTGAAGCGATACTCGATAACGATGAGAACAACAACACTTAGAACACGTCTTTTACTTCTGCATTCCTCCCAACATGATCGGTATAATATATTATTGCACCTCTCCTCACTCCATGTTAGCTAGCCCGTCACGCACGTACTCTTCAAAGAGGGACTTCCAGTCTTTGTGCCAACGACTCAGCGCAGGCCTGCCCTCAACAACATCTGCCGCGCCCCACATGATGCGTAGCTGATCAAGTTGGTGGCGAGACTCGTTATCAGGGCAGAGGATGTAAAACTCGCCAGCACGAACATGGTCGAGCATGAAAAGAACTGTCTCCTCGGCCGTCCAAGCGCCCGCGGGTTTCTCACCACCGTTGCGGGCGGTAAGACCTGTGAAGGTCCACCCAGGGCTGTGGGACCCAAGTGAGCCTTCATGTAAATACACCCGAAAGAATCCGAGATAACCCACATGAAGAGATGCGCGGTGACGTTGCACGCCGGACTTTCGCGAAGCTCGTGTGCGAGTCCTTCCGTTAGGCTCTTCACTGCGGCCTTTGCGGCGTTGTATGCTGGGTTGCCACTGTCCCATCGCGAATGGGATGACGTAATGATTAATTCGGGTAACAACGATGTTTTGCTCGAACTTACGGAGGGTTAGTGATCCCTTGCTTAGATCCAGTGTTGATGACTACAGCTTGGTTCTCCTGGTGCAGCATGGACTGGCAGAAATAAGAATGACATCACCATCAGCGCCAGGATATACGGTACACGCAGAGGGGAACACCAACTGGCACAAAGGTCTGCTGCACATTGACCACACTAAACATTATAAGTTGGACTACGCTCGCGTTCCCATCAAACTGATGACGAACCCGAAAAGATTGACGTCAAACGTCTTCTTCCAGTTGTCCAGCATCTTCCAAGATTTGCTGTCAGGACCTATTGCGGCATTGTTGAGGAGAACTGCAACCTGTCGATAATGATCAGATCAGGATGTTCGCCCGATGTAAGATGGGATGAGATGAGATTGAATGGCGTGATTTGAGGTGGGAATCACAGGTTCTGTGTACAATGGCATAATTCGCTCACCTCGCCCCACGCCTCATAGACCCTGTCGCGCAAACGCACAACATCGTCGATCTTCGACACATCCGTCGGAATAACAAGTACATTAGCCTCTCCAACGATGGAAATAACCTCCTTAGCAGCAAGGGCCAAGACATCCTCCAAGACATCCGCCATAGCAATTTTCAGACCGAGCCTGGTTACAATACAAATCACCAAAGCACCGAATGCAACAGCCGACACCGTCAGCGTAGACATATCACATTCGTGAGTATCTCGCTCGCGGGGTCAAGAGCGACGGCACCCACGCACTTTGCCAATTCGACAGCAGCAGCTTTACCGATACCGCTCGCAGCGCCGGTGATAACTGCCACTCTACCAGCATGGAAGACTGGATGAACTTCGCTATCCAGGGGAGACATGGCTTCGAAACGTCTATGGGAGGGAGTAAAAGGTGAAGGGCCACGATCAAGAGGCATATCTGCAGGTCTAGCGGTGGATGCGATTCCTGAGAAATAACTGGGGATCGATTGGTGGTTATTATCAGAGAAAAAGTCGAGCACATGTCATACATTGTCAGTGGCTGTCGTGTATAGCGCAGGAGTAAATATAACCCACAGAAATACAATAAAATGGCTCTGGTAGACTCGCTGGACTCGCAAGCGTTGTCTCGTCGAGCAATCAAAAGAAATAACGAGGACACATGCGATGTTTAGGACAAGTTTAAATACGATGTTTATATACCATGAGAAGCTTAACTAGCAATCCAAGAGGCATCGCCCGAATAGTCCGGACTCCGAAGCAAAGTGCACCTTTCAAGAAATTACTCGCCTAAAATAACATAAAATAAAATAAATAAATTCGAGGTGGGATTGATCATTCCAGACTGCGCAGCATGTAAAGTAAATGGTAATAACTGAACTGTTCCCTCGGATTGATGTACGAAGAATGTACGTCAAGCCGCAACGTGGTCCCCAACGTGATGTTCGAACTTGGAATCGCTTTGGCCTTGGCTCTTGGTGGTCCCTCGGCATTGATTTTATTGTGGCTCGTTCTGCGTCTCCCTGACCTACTGGATGCCAGCAACTCTCCTCGGAGTCCTCGCTGACGACATGTTCGTCGAATCGTTCAGGTAGCTCCTGTTTCATCCAGGCCATTAAACTTCGTAGTCTTTGGGGCCCCAGTGCGGTAGGAAGATGGTCTGCAGCCAGCTTTTCAACCTCGTTTATGTAAGTTGAAACCTACAGGTAGGTGATGGTCAGATGCGGGGAGTCATTGTGAACAGTCAAGGGCCATGAAGGGTAGACCATCCAAGTTGGTCTCGATTCTCGACCCTAGTTGTTCTTCCCTGGCCAGACCTTTAGAACTTCCAAAAGGAAGACAGTCGTGCTTATAAAAGGTCTAGTGACTGGGATCCAAAGTCGCACGAACACCCCGCAAATGTTAATTCTAAGAATATCATGATATGCTCTGGAATGCTAAAAAGCTCGTCCCTGGCTGAGCGCTGAACGGCTGAACGGTTCAGCAATCGTTAGAAGGCATTCGGATACACTCTGAGCAGAAAATCGGCTTCACACCTTCACCTCGAGCGCGCAAGTAGACAGTATACTAGAACAGTCCCAAGGCATGCTTCCTGGAGGTTTCAGAAACCAAGACTCAGATCTCGAGCTTCGAGAAGAGTCCAGATCAGGCCGTCCCTTCTTCTCCCCTTGAATCTGGTACTTAGCTGCAAGTTAGCATAATCATTTGAACGTTAACATTAAAAAAATTGGCACCGTCTTATCGTGCACCGGTCTCGGAGTAAATATGACGCAAAAAGCATATAATGTGATCTGTGGTACGTTGGCTAAACTCCAAATAGTATTATGAGACAGGCCAAGACTTGCAAAACGCATGCTAATCCTTCGAGAATAACTTTTGTCGAATGAGATAATAATGCCAGAGGCCGTAGATACAGTGCGCCCAAAGTTAGACCACTAAAAACAAGGTATCTATCGCATGAACAAGCGGACAATTGATTGTACGCGAGTACAGGATAACTACAGTAACGAGAAAGCATAACGACTAGCCAATTTTCGTCCATATATGAGCGGTGGCTATTGGTAAACCGAAGTTGAGTCAACACGTACAAAACAAATGGAATCATAATCAACATCAGCAAAGATTTAACCAACCGGGGTAGCATGCTCGATCTGCCCCGGCAGATACATACTCCCAATACATCCATTTTAAGACTCTTCTCCACCTGAGTTATTGGAAGAACCACTAGGAGCTTCGATGCCCATCTTCTTCCGGACAATCTCGAAAGTCTTCAGCATCTTCCTCCTTGCGCCGAGAGCGGCAACACCTTTGGCCTCCAGGCCCGCCTCGTCAAGCACGACCATGTCTTGCCACTTCATCTTCTCAAAGTTAGGCGTATACTTGTGTAGCCTCAGGCTCCTGAGCCAAGCCGGGATATCATGAAGCAGCGCGGGGTCAACGTCTTCCTCATCCTTCTTTGCTGCACTACTCGCACTATTTCCACCAGAAGAACCGGTCTTCGGAAGCCCAGGGGATCGTCCTCCTCCACGGCTCCTGCTGTTATTGTTGTTGTTGCTCTGCTGCATAGCAGCAGCTTGTTGAATGCCTAGCCAGTTCTGCGGAAATCCAGCAGCCATTTGCGCCGCAAGAAGCTGCGCCTCCGGCGTCATTGAACTTATCCCCATGGCGCTCATCTGAGCTTGTAGGTTCAACATGTTCATCTGCATGGGGTTCATGCCCGCCAATAACCCTGCGCTTGGCATACCCATCCCGAGTCCAGGGCTACCGAGTCCACCAATGTTGAACCCATTCATGCCCAGCCCGTTCAGGGGGCCGTTCACATCTTCCCCGCCGAACCTGTTCGACTGAGGTAGCGCAGGACTCCTACTACTGTTCCAGTTGCCTGGCTGTTGGCCGAGATTAAGCTGTGCGTTGTTGGCGTTGGAACCCTGGCTAACGTTCCGACGCTGACCGGATGGCTGTTGAGAAACAAGATTGCCCTCATTATCATATATATTGTTGTTTGCTTGTACGTTGGTGTCCGGAGCAGGAGGGTTTGCACTTCCGTTACCCCTCGACGGCCGACGGAAGGACTTCGGATCGGCCATGAGGGGAACACGTGCACCAGGATTCCAGTCACTAAGCTTGGCAGCTGCCACGTCGAGATGGGAATGTGTATCCTTAGAGAACATAGGAATCAAGGGTGTATTGACATTGCTGGCCCAGCTATCGCCGACCATAGGGGACAACGCCTCAACTCCAGCGCGTGGTGTTCCGAGAGAGCCGCTAAACTCAGTGCTTTTGGGCCTTGAGCTGTTGCCAACAGACGGAACAACAATTTCCTGTGCAGGAGAGTTGATATTCTGTTCTGCGACTTGACTGAGTGCAGATCCCCAGGAGGTACGCGAATCACTGCTGCCAGACGCAAGAATGGGTGCGGAAATCCTATGTGCTGCATTGCTGGCCTTTAGCTTAGCGCGTTGATGGGCAAGAGTGGCGGCTGCGTCATTGCTAGATCCCATTGCAGCTGAGTCTGGGGAAAGAAACCCAGAAGAAGTGGTATCGAGTGCAAGGGATTGCCTGTTCTGACTGCCACTGAATACGCGAGGAGAGGCGGGCATAGGCGACTTAAGCGCGGGGCTCTTCAACGTCATCTGGGCTAACTTAGCTTCCATCTGACTCTGCATCGAACCTGCATCTCAAAATTAGGTTCATGAGACGATAAATATTGACCAAGAATACTCACCACCAATAGCAGGGCTCAAGAGAGCGGTCATCGGATCTGACCTCGCCATCTGCTGCAAAACGGTAATGAAAAATCGAATTTGAACTTGGGTAGATTGTTGAAGAAGACTGTAAAGAGCAGCAGTGCGCTCTGCTTCAGAAAGGACCTTGAACCCTTCAAAAAAGCATATTAATTGATGACGAATTAAAACGGGACAGGCGCTTACATTGCTCAATGGCACTTAATTCTTCCTTGAAATTGACATCCAAGGATGCAGCAGCCATCTCCTCAAGAGTCTCTTCGTAGTTTTGGAGATTCTCAAACCATTGGTCGATTGCCTCCGATTCTGGGGTTTGAAACATGGTCGCGCTACCGAGTAGTTCGCTTGTGGGACGAGCACTACTTCCTCCACCGGGACGAGGGGAAGCTGGCGCTAGAGTTTGGCGAGGACCCATGGAAGCGCGAGCAGAGCGAGCGTGATCAGCATTGAGAGGAGAAGGTGAAGGACTGGAAGGAGGACGAAGAGTAGACATGGGCGCTATTGATGACTGGAAGGCACGATGATATGCGAATTGAACTAGAGGATGAAATTTGAAATGCGACGCTCGTGAAGATCCGCTAGCGGTAAAATGTATGAAGAATTGATGTCGCTAGACACGTTTTTGCAAGATATAGGAAGGGAGTAGAAATGTGTTCCTAATCCTCGAGGACACGATGAGAAGATGAGATTTTGGAAGGAGGGGAGTAGATATGAGATTGAGATGGCTCTTTGATGAGAGCTAAATCTCTTTAGAAGGAGCCCTGACGTCGAGTCTTGGGGACTATATGCTAGAATCAAAAGCACGACTGCAAAGTCTGCTGAGCAGAACTGATGATAATGCGACCGTTGCGTTGCGCTGCTTTGGGTCTAGACGAGACCAGCGGAGCCTGCCGGTCTAGCGAAAGTCAAAGCCTGCTAGACGATTGCGAAGGACAAGAATGACAAAAATTCAAGATACCTGCGGGCGACGAACAAGAACGACGTTGAACAACGTCGAACAGCTTGCTGCTGTGTCACTTCCAAACGTTGTCTTCCCTTTTGGGAAAAGTTCCGTTGCCGACTGATGCCGACCATCAGTCAGTTTCGTTCAATCAGATGATCATGATCACAGCGGACACTAGCAATACCTACCGAGTTGCAGTGCTCTTGCTGACGGGGTGATGTGTCCACCGACAGTACTGGTGGTTCGTATATATTGATCCTATCAGTACTAATGACTGGTAATGTTTGATGCAGCAGAGAACGCTATTTCAGGGAAAACGTTCGACATCGACTGGGAACCAAAGACATTCGCTCTGAAGGTTAGGCAACAGATGATGTCGTGTGGCCCAATAGTTTGCCTGAGCAAGTCTCGCGGTTTTCATGCTATGCGAAAAATCCATCGTTGGAGTATTTATGCCTATTTTCCCAGTCTTCCTGCAAAGAAATTGATAATCTTCCCTGTTTGCCTTCGCGTTGAGTCTAACAGATGTCATTCATATTCTGCCAGATCCTTTTTTGACGAGATGGTCAGTCTTTTCAGCCTGAGATTCTTTTATCGTTTGCTCCTGACTTAAACAGGGTGAAGAGACGCGCTTGCATCATGCAGCTATCACGCTATCCATGTGCGGTTATCGGTGCCCATAACGAGTACTGCACGTAAATCGATCAGCTTGAGCGACTGCCTACTACAGTTATCAGGTATGATTTTGTGTTAAAGTATCCTGCATAGGATTCGTGTCAATCTGATCTGCGGCTCCGGTAACCATTCAGTAATTTCAGCAACAAGATATGGTCTGAGTCTTGTAAATGGAGAATATCACTCACATGGGCTCAGCGCTGTTCCGATCCTGGAAGTACGTATCTAGTAATATGTGACCATATCTTGTTTGTAATGCGATTGCATAGACTCGGAGACCTGTTTGCCAGGTGGACAAGTTAAACCCACTCCGTATTTCACAGATACGTGAATCAGTCGCAAATTAACGGACGGCGTGTTAGCCACCCCGTTGAGGCGCAAATATTACTCAGCAAGGGACTGCTGCGCGCATGATTCCCCACCCCCATTGCAGCTCCTAAGGTAAGTGAACACATTACAAGGATTCCGGACTCCAGGGGACCACATCAATCACAGTATGTGCTTGAGGCACCTTCAGTCATTCACTGGCCGAATAATGTTTCGTCATATAATTTCCTACATAAACATTGAGCTACTTTGTGAATGCCAAGATCTTATATGTGTCATCAGAACGTTCGCCAATATCAATGCTGGCCCGTTCTCGTGTCCATGTGTCCAAATCTTCGCGAATTGATATGGCATGTGGTGACGAAAATCGCTACATAATCATTGTCATAAGTAGTATGTTTTCCATATCGCCACTTAATTGACTAGGAACGCAGGTTCCAGTACTTATCTGAAGGAATTTCGTTGAAGATGAGTGACGCTTCATGAGTCTGCGTAGGTTTAATTTGATAACTGCTGATTTGCCTTACGGTCTGATGACAGACTGCAACTGGGCTAAACGTTGGCATTGTAGTTAGGTCTTGGACCGGGACTGACCCAAGGGAGTGTCACACGGCCGCCCCATAAAACCACCACAAGGGAATGTGGGGATCGTGTAGTGTTATTACAGATTTGGTAATTTTAAAGATCGCCTTGCATTCGATCTTCAACACACTTGTCCACACTACGCATCAATTTCGGCTGCATAAGCAGAGACTCTTCCTATTGTGTCACACAACGACGAATAAAGTCTCACAATTCAGTGATTGGTGTCTGCATCCGAAATTCCCCTGCATTGGCAGCTGTGTACCGGCATAACACGAGCATTGAACATCAACACCAAAACACGGGAACTACAACGGACTGACGACGTAGGACGCGAGCCCAGGCAAGTCCGGGGGAGGTGCGGCGGTGTAGTTTGCTGAGTACCAGTGAGCCCGATAAACTGGCTCATAGTATGGTAAGTTCTGAATATTTTAAGCCATGATTATATTGAGCCCGCACGGCGTTACATCGTTCTTTGTATGGCGTACTTAGTTCAAAAAGAGACTTTGCGCATATAGCTTTGACAAGTTGACTCATCTGTACATGTCAGAATCCACTAACGTTGTTTGGTCTCTCATGTGACCTCACATGAAGTGGTCAATGGAGACGATGTCGACGCTTGTCGACCTCAATGGCATCGTGACCGGGGATAGGGTAACCAATCATAACAGAGCCCGGTGTCAAGTTTGGGAATCCACGCGCCCATGGGGTTCACGATCCATGGCCGAGGTCATAATTGGGTGTGAATGGTGAAATATTCTTCGGTAAATAGAGGGTTCGTGATTGTCGGTCTAAATTTAGAGTCTGGATTGGGTAGATGATGGTTTGCCGCACCTTCTAGATAAAGTTTCATGCAAGTAGGATGGGGTCAGGAATGTTTGTTACCTGCCTACCATCACCGTGCAAGATTCATCGAGGCAGTGAGCGAAAATTGCGTAGTTGATTAGCGACATTGGCGACGCGTCTCGCTGTTTTAAAGAGCATTTGACGGCGTGATATCAAACCAAAAAAGTATGAAATTGACGATGAAATAATAGTATCGAACAGTCAGCACAAATGAAAAAAAAAACTTTTGAAGAATCATGAAAGCCGCGAGTGTGAAGCACTTCTTGTTTGAGGGCGTAAACAAACATGTGAGCCGACCCGTTGCATTATCTGTGGGCCGAGGCACCCAGTCGAATCAGTGGTAGGAGCTAGCGACAGAGCCAACTCGTCCCCCATCAACCAGCCATACAGCACCGTTAACGTATGCTCCCGCGGGGCCAGCCAGGAAAAGAATAGGACCAGAGATATCAGATAGGACACCTGCGCGCCCGAGAGGAACAGCTTGAGCCAAAAGGGCAGGTGTGAGGTGTTGAGTTGATGTCATTTCTGTCACAAAAATATATCAACAAGCCAATCAATATCTAGAGAAGTAATTGCTCACCGCTTGGAAAAACACCTGGGCATAGTACGTTGGAGCGAATACCCCAATCAGCCAAAAGGTTAGCAAGAAGCCTTCCGAGGTGTGTGCAAGCACTCTTTGCCATCGTATAAGAGATAGATAGGACTCGCGCATCAATGCGAAAGGAGCCAGATGAGGAGATGGTGATAACTTGAGATGTCGGCTGTGGAATGCATTTCTCCGGAGGATGAGTGGCCTGAGTAGAATTAATGGAGGACAATCCTGCAGGAAGGGACGCAAGAGGTGAGGGTGATGTTGGAGAAAAGGAATGAGAGGCTACTGAAGGACTGAAGGATGCGGAGCTTCGATCGTTCGAAACATCATCACAGGGCTCCTTGTTGAAAACCGGTGGACGCAGCGACATGACAGGAGGCAGGTCACCCCTTCTTAAATTGCCAAGGTGAAGCAACTCGAGGAAGGCGACGGTAGTAAAATAAACGGCAGTGACGTTCGTATCGAACGTCTCGGCAAAGCCTTCTGGTGATCCAGTATCCCAAAGGACACTTTGGAACGCCTTGATGGATGGGGAGGCATCTGCGGGGCCGTCCAGCGGGGATGGTAAATGCGAGGGTAGAATATTGCGGGCGATGCCGGCATTATTGACAAGGAGGTCAATATAGCCATGGCGTGTTCTGACAGTCTCGACGAGTTTTGTGAGAGACCGACGACACGTGATGTCACCCTGTAATGGGATGAGCTTTCCGAATCTCTGGGAGCTTTGGCGTCAGAAACTATCACTATAAATGCAATATCCCATACGTTATTCTCCTTGGCAGCCTTTTCTATAACTTCAAGCCTCCGACCAATGATGTACACGGTGGCACCATTGTTCTCTAACGCAGTAGCAATCATGAGTCCGATACCTAGCAAACATTATATCATGATGATGAGCAGGATTTGTCACAAGGCCAAGAAAAGACTGTACCGGTGCCACCCCCTGTGACCACAGCGACCTGTCCCTCTACGCCAAACAAGGCAGCAGGATTCGTATGAATGGATACACCTGTACTAGTCATGATGGTATCGGGCAGGGGTGTGAGATGTGCATTACAAACACCGGTGTGCCGATATTATATAGTTACAGTGGAGTTTGCCAGTGTCCCAATTTGAACCTGCTTTATGCAAACGTCAAGTTGCAATGGCGGATTAGGCCATGTAGTATCAATCAGCTACAAATTCTAGGGCCGAGGCGATAGCACTCTAAGGCAAGCGTAGGAAGCAACGTCCGTACAAATTCAGGTCGATTCGGAAATAAACAGTAAGCTCTACTGCAACCGACCGGGCGCTAAACATTTCATATCAGTTGTCAGCATCAGCCAAGGAATCGACGACGTCGAAGAAGAATCCAGCTGGTGATGCCCTCGCCCGTAACTCCAATGCAATAGATTTTACGGATCGCCCGTATCTATGGTTGATTAAGTTCACAGGTGAGCGTGGTGAAACGCGAGGGGAAATCATCAAACATAGTAAAGGGTAATTTCCTCGACATCGTATTACATAAGTTAATTTACTCCGCAGCCGTGCAAAGTGCGCAAAGACATTTTTCATGCCAGTGTAAGGGCTCCTGGTTGCCCTGCTCGTTCAACTCGAATCGAACGATCTCTTTCATCTCCCCTTCTCTTCATCTGATCAAGCGCAGAGCCCGATCAAATCAACGTGATTCGTGAATCATACCATTATCTATCGCTAAGCTGTGCCGGTCATTGTTGCTGACGCAGCCTCCCGGGGTCCTGAGCAGTGCAGACCAGTCTACGTCGATGCCCCTCAGATCCTTTTCATATGACTGGGTCCTAGTAGTGGTCGCAACATGATAAGGACGTCATTTCCGCCAATAGATGCGATACCTAGCAAACGGTCTCCGCCAATATTCACAGGCAGCATCGAGAGTCTCAATACGTACTTGGATTCCCTGCCTGCCCCAGCTCGATTATGACCCTTATATTCTGTGCCCCTGATTCTTCGCTTTCCAAGCGATTTGCTTATCATGCTATACGTGTAACAATTTTTGAATTGATTGCCAGATGGGCCTGGCGCAACGCAAGACTAATGCGAGTTTGCCACATCATCACTGTTGAGGAGAAGGAACGATTCGTCAAACTCTCCAAGATTGCCCGGGCCAGTGTGGTGTGCTTCTAGTTCATTCTCGCACAATCGTCATGATGATAATTCTGACTACAGGCCAAAGTATCTGGTGCGGAGTTTTGTCGGAAATTTCCAGCGAGCCTTCGAATTCAATTTAAGACATTTTAAGGGACCTTTTCACACGGTACACTTATAATGCATGTTAATTTGCACAGTGGTTCTGACTACATGCCTCTGGCTTCAGCGCTGTATCTGTATGACATATGTTCTGACTACTTACAAAATCTAGCTCACTCCTGCCTAATGAATCAATCTATGCTTGGATGGGAGGTCACATTTGTTTAGGGCAAGTGGAGTCCCCCAGCTCTATGCTCGGGGGACTCAGTCACATTTTTATTACAGCCAGAGTTGCTGAATACAAAGAAATTGAATAGATGCAGATGTTCAGGGACTCGCAGAGAAGGAGAAAAGCTAAATAGTGAGTTTGGAGATTCGAGAGAAATGCTAAAGGGTTAATGTTTTTAAAAAAAATTTAATTGTTTTTTTGTTGTTGTTTGTAAGTTTGTCTTTGAACTTGCCGAGTGTTCAAGAGAACAAGACCAAGAATACACACCAACAAGACCAAGACTGTCTGAGTGTGTGAGAGACCTAGATTGTTGTGTTTGTTTACAGTGTGCATGCTGTGCTGTGCATAAGTGCATGCAAGATGACTGGATGCTGCTGAATGTACTTGTTAAACTTGTCAGAAGACCACCATCCTGATGCTTGAATTAGATCTAGTGACATTCCTGCAGCTGCCAGTGCTGTTGCACCCCCTGCTTGCATGGAATGTCCAGAGAAATCTGTCCCACAGAAATGATGTAACCGCCACAGAAACCATGATTGTGTTGGCACTTTCCCAGCCTCAGTCACCCATAGAGCAGGATGATGCAAGAACGAGGTATCCCTTGTGTCAAGATAGTGCTGTATGTGTGCTAAGGGATCAATGGCTGAGTTTGGCTCAGCCACAATGTGGATTTTGCAGCTGGTTCCCAGGTTGTCATTTTTCTGATAAGGCAGTAGATATGATGGTGAGGTGGTTGTGTAGGATAAGGTGTGCCATAATGACACCTTCTTGTAAGATTTGTTATGAACTAGGGTAGTCTAACAACAGACAACTCAATAAGAGTCAGGACCTCTGTTGAGATTCTACACAAAGTGATAAGCCAAGTGTTCAGAGTAAGCTAAGGTAGAGGGAGTGCCTCTAACTTAAAGTACGGTTCAGATGACTTAGAATTGAAGGTTCTAAGTGAGGGATGTTCCAGGTAAAACCTAGTAAGATTAAGTGCAGTATCTAGGTGTACAAGGTAGACTATATACAGTGGCTCAAAAAAGTGTCTCAATGTTTGTGACTTTTCATGTAATTGCTGTATTATGAGCCAGGGTGTGAGAATATGACTAAGCCATAGGGAGATGTGGGAAAGCTCTGCTTCTAAGCTTCACAGTTTGATTCCTATAGCGTGGGAATATTATGTAATCAAGTGAAGATATGGTTAATTTAATTTGGTGACTCATTGAGACACTTTTTTGACTTTTAGTTTGGCCAACACAATCTCTATAATTCTAGTACTTGGTGCTTCCTTCTGTTGCTCTAACTACTTCCACCACTCTTCTATGCATACTATCTATCAATTTGAAGCATTCCTCATCAACAATCTTGCCCCACTCTGCTGCAACTCTCTCCCACAGCTGAAATAGCCCCTATTATTATCCTCAGCTCTTCTAATCTGTACACCAGGCAGATTGCTACCAAAACTGGTCTGAGCAGGGTTGCTATCATTAGGATCATAAAAAAGTCATGCCAGATAAGAAAAATATCAAACTAGATTGTCCTTTCAAGCTTACACCATATAACAAAAAATCTCTTGTTCATAATATTCAAACTAGGCAGGCTGCCAATGCTACTCAAGTCACCAAATTTATTAATTACATCATCTACACTGCTCTCTCCACTCAAATAGTCAAGAATACTCCTAAGGCAGCCAATCTTAAAGCTGTAAACAGGTAGAAAAAACCTTTCCTGTCTTCAGCCTATAGGAGAGAAGATCAGCCTTGGCTTTAAAGCCTCAATATTGGATTGTTGAGGACTGGAATAGGGCTACCTGGTCAGATGAGACCACAATCAATAGGATGGGGTCAGATGGCTAGGAATATATATGATGAAAGGCAGAAAAACTACCAGAGCAAAAAAAGTCAAGAAAACACTAAAGTATGTAAAGTAGGAGACTTGATGGTATGGTGTTGTATGAGGTGGAATGGAGTAGGAATTCTCTGTGAGGTGGGGGGGGGAGGGGAGGATGAATGCAGAGTAGCATATTTCAATTTTGGAAAACTATCTGCTCAGAAGCATGCAAGAATCAAGAATTATTGAATAAGACATTACCTTCTATCAAGACAATGTCCCTGAGCATACTTCAAGTTGACCATAAAATGGTTTGAAAACTATGGTATCAGTGTGCTATCATAGTAAGTCTGGTCCTCAGACATCAACCCTATTGAACAGCTCTGGTAATTACTCAAGATATCACTTGCAGTCTATCAAGATCCTCAATAGGGGTTATTTTAGCTGTGGGAGAGAGTTGCAGCAGAGTGGGGCAAGATTGTTGATGAGGAATGCTTAAAATTGATAGATAGTATGCATAGAAGAGTGGTGGAAGTAGTTAGAGCAACAGAAGGAAGCACCAAGTACTAGAATTATAGAGATTGTGTTGGCCAAACTAAAAGTCAAAAAAGTGTCTCAATGAGTCACCAAATTAAATTAACCATATCTTCACTTGATTACATAATATTCCCACGCTATAGGAATCAAACGTGAAGCTTAGAAGCAGAGCTTTCCCACATCTCCCTATGGCTTAGTCATATTCTCACACCCTGGCTCATAATACAGCAATTACATGAAAAGTCACAAACATTGAGACACTTTTTTGAGCCACTGTATAGTGAATACAAGTGCTTTAGGGCAGGTGTGGAGATGAGTCTAGCAGCTGGCAGCATGTGGCACAGTGATGTTGTCATATGCCATTCTGGACCCTCAACTCTAAATCCACTTCTCTGGACATCTGGATCCAAGATCCAGATCTCCAATGATCTAATCTATCTTTATCTCCCTTCTGGAACCCAAACTCTATATCAGTGCCCAACCCCATTTAGACTTCCCCTGTCTCTGGACTCTGGTTAACTATGTTTCCCTTTTGATTGTTAATCCATTACATACATTTCATTTCTGATATGCATTATTGGTGATCTGTCCTACTTACTAATAGACTTTGCATATGCTTTGTACATAGCCTTTGTGTTTGCTGACTGATTCCTATATGATACCTACAGTATATAGACCTCCTGTAACTCTCAGAAATACTTCAGTTCAAATATCATCTTAGTTCCTTCTCATTCCTGTGTCCTCCAGACTTGAGCCAAGTCTCTTGTCATATTCTGAGTCTTAGGATTGTATCCTAGACTACTTCTCTGGCTTTACCTTAGGGTAGTCTATCCCCTGTTAGTTTCTAGTCCAGAATCTGTCCAGATTAGTCTTATCTGCTTGTCCAAGTAACATCTGGATGTCTGTTGTCTGCCCTAGTCAAAACCCAGAAACCCTGGATGACTATTCTAGCCCCTGGAAATTAAGGGCACATACTTAGGAAAGGGGCACAGCATATGAGCTGAGGCCAAGCCCTTGTGATCTGACCCCCTTGAGCACGTGACCTTAACAGATGTAGTACAGTGTAAGAGTAAGGGAAAATGAATAGGGGTGTACATTGACTGTAACAAGATTGAAGTTTGGTAGAGTCTGGCCAAGTAAGCTTGCTGAGTTGCTGTAGACTTTTGAAGCCTGTAATTACTATTGCAATGAACAATGTGTCATCATAGGGTGGATTAGCGTCTCTCCTGATGATAT